GTTAAAAAATTTAAAATAATTAATAAATTTAATTAAGTTAAAACTTAAAAAATAATTTAAAAAATAAAAATAAATTAAATAAATAATATATTAAATTTAAAAAGTAAAATAATTTAATATATAAAATATAAAATAAAATTAAAATATAAATTTCTTAATAAAATTTAAATTTTTTTTCTATAATATAATTTATAATTAAATTTAAAATAAAAATTTTATTTAATTTATATTATTAATAAATATTAAATTGAAAAATTATTTTATTTTTAATATTATTATTATACTTATTTTATACTTTTTTAAATTTTTAAATTATTAAAATTTTTTTCTATTTTATTATTTTTTTATTAATTATTTTTATTATTTTATTTATTTTATAAAAATAAAATTAATAATTTAATTATAATTTTCAAAATATTTTATTTAAATATTATATTATTTTAAATAAATAATAATAGTTATTGTTATTATATAATTTATTTTTTATTTTTTAATTTAAATAAATATGATTAAAATAAGTATAATTTTAAATATTTACTTTATTATTCTTTTAAAATTTATATATATATTTTTATTAAATTAAATTATAAAGTTAAATTATAAATTATATTTTAAAATTATATTAATTTATATTAATTTAAAGTTTAATTTTTAAACTATATAAATATTTATTAAATATACTTTTAATATTTTATTTAAAATTTATATTATATATAAAAATTAAGTATTAAATCTTTTTAATTTTTTAATTAAAATTATAATAATTAATATATAATAATAAATTTTAAATTTAATTTTTATAATTTATATTTAATTATATAAAACTATAAATATTAATTAAAAATTATTATTATTAAATAATAAAATAAATAAAATAATTTAACTGTATTATATTTAAATTATATATAATTAACTTTTAATATATTATATTTTAATTTAAAAAGTTTAAATATTAAATTTTTATTCATATTCTTAATTTATAATACTTTTAATCAAATTTTAAAAAATAATTTTTATTTAATTAATTTAATATTTAAAAGAAATATATTAAATTAATATAATATATTTTTAAATCTATATTATTTTTTATATATAAAAATTAATTTATAATTAAAATTTTATATAAATATTTTTCTTCAATTAACTATAAATATAATTATAATTTAATTTAATATAAAATTTAAAAATAAAACTATAAAGTTAATTTTCAACATGATTTTAAAATAAAATATAAAAAAAATTATTTATATATTTATTAAAAATAAATAATTATTTCTTTAAAGATTTATTAAATAATTTAAATATAAATATATTAATAATTAAAATATTTAATTTATTTAATTAATGACATAATTTAGTTATTTGCATAACTTCCTATTATATTAATTTTAATTAAAATTAGTATTATTAATAGTAAAACTATTAATAGTAATAAAAGCTTCTATTAGAAATAAATACTCAAAAGAAAAATTATAATTTATATTGAAAACAATAAAGAAAAATATTTTAAATATTTAAATTTAATATATAAAATAAATATTTTATATTAATTAAAGATTTTTTGATTTTATATAATAAGAAAATAAATTTATAATATTAAAAATATATTATTAAATACAGTTTTAATATATCTATTGAATAAAAAATAAATTTATTAATAAAAAAATAAAAAATATAAATATAAGTAAAATATTTTATAAATAAAATTTATATAAATAAATAATTTAAAATTAAAGTAAAAAAGTATTAAAAATAAAAATATAAACTATTTAATTATAAATTTATTTATATATAAAATAATTTTTATATAAAAATAATAATTAATAATTGAAATAATTAAAATATAATATATTATAATAATGTTAGAATATTAATTAATTTTGATTTTATTAAATTTAAATTTTTTTTAATTTTAAATTTATAATTATTAATTTTATATAATAAATATATTTTAAGTTAATATATATTATAATTATATAATAATTAAAAAAAAGTTTTAATAATTAATATATTAATAATTAAGTTAAATTAACTATATATTTTATAGTAAAAATATATAAAAATAAATAATAAACTATATTATATAATTAAAAATTTAAAAAATATTATAATTAAATTATTATAATATTATTTTATTTATTTTATTAAAAATTAATAATTTCTTTATAAAAATCATATTAATATATAATTACTTATAAAAATTTTAGAAAAATACTCAAGTTTTATTCCTTTTTTTTATTTTGTTAAAAATATAATTAATGATGTAAACTTTAACTTATATCTATAATTACAAGCTTTATGAAAAGAAAATGTTTTTTAAATTCTAATATAATTTAGTTTTTAATGAAATTTTTATTGTTATTATTATTAGCAAGTGTAGTTCGGGGTTGTAATCAGTTGAGTGCAACTGCTCGCATATTTCATTGAAGAAGCATCTCGTATTTTACTCAGTACAGTCCATACGATTCTCGGTAGGTAGTATAACTACGACCAAAGCGGGCGGGGGTGCGGAAAGAAGTACCTAACGAGAGACGTCGACCTGCGCCCGGGAAAAGATGGACGCTGTGGGATTTGTGATGACCAAACAACTGGGACTGAATATCTGGAATCGTAGTCTTCGTCTACAGGTTATGAGCCTCTTGACTTCATACATCGGACTGAAAAAGGAGAAGTAGAAGAAGGATGACCAAAAATTCATGGAGCAACCACCCTAGGGCTATCACTTAACTCTTCGTTTCGCTTTATTCGTCGAACGAGGAAACTCGGTTCTGTGGAACAGAGAAGTGGCTGAGAACCTTGACAAGTGAAGTACATGTACACGTACATCGCTGCACACGCATGTGTCCCCCAAACCCCCTTTCTCGGAGATTCTCAACCTTTGGTCCCTTTTTGTTTCAGAGTGCCTGTGTTTCATGAGAAGGGGAGCTGCAGAAGCGCGGCGAATACTTCTGATATTCTAGAACCCTCTTCCATTGATGCTCACCATGGCCCAATCTCACTGACGACATGATCGGAGTTTCCAACTCAAGGTCCAAACTCGGGGTCAATTACAGTAGGTATTCGGTAGAAGGGGGGGGGGGAAGAACGTGAGTAGCGATATATTGTCATATCATGGATTCCAAAAGTCGACGCACAGAATATACGAACGAGAAGCAAGAGCTGACGCAAGCTTGCTTATCAACCTACAGAACCGAGCTTGCGAAACTCTGATTGCCATTGGGCGCATGGGAGCTTATATTTGGTCCACTCCGCTCACACACCATTGGATGCGGTCGGTTCAGCCGCGCGTAAATAATATGTCATTGTTGCCCGCTGCTTTCAGAACGGGAGAATAGGCGGAATATCGAGCAGAAACAGGATGTCGGGCAGGTTGTGCCAAAAGAACCAGATAGTAGTAGTAGTAGTAGTAGTAGTAGTAGTAGTAGTAGCAGCAGCAGTAGTAGTAGTAGTAGTAGTAGTTGTTGTTGTTGTTGTTGTCGTTGTTGTCGTCAAGTGACTCTTCGCTACCAATGGATCTAATCGCGATGACGGCTCTGTTCGTCTGCCCGCCTGGTCAGGCCACGTAATCGGGCCTTCCGACGTGAACCTGGTATTGGAGACTTTCCTCGCATCGGCTCAGAAAGCTGGGTTTGAGAAAGTCCAGACCTCTCTACTCCCGTCGCCGTCACCCAATCTACATGCAACTGGAGAGGATGGTAGGGTCCCTGGATGCACAAAGTGGTGGCTTGTCGGCAAGCATAGCTGGGCCCTTTTCAACAAACCCACAATAACCAGCCGTCTTCCGAAACGAAGCCCACGAGAGCTGTGTGTTTGTGCTGGCTGGAAACCGATTGGACCGCGGAGCAAACTGCACATCCGGGCTAGAATTCTGGTTGGCCGAAGTACTGCCTGCTCCACATTTTTCTCTCCAATGTGCGAGCCTGATTCAATCCTCATCCATCCGTCGTTTCAACGACGTCCAAAATACCAAATGATGAGCAGCGGAACTTTCCGGTTTGTCCCTGCTGTGCAGCGTATCAGCAACTGGGAATGGATTTTCTTATGAGTAACTCTGGAATCATGAATAATTCCCGCAGTTTTTCCAGCCTTGTCGCTGAGAGAAGCTTTTCTCCGGACTCCAGGACAACACACGTTTGAGAGGATAGAAATGCGAGTGGGCCTGTCTCAACTCCATTATCTTTTCACGATCTTTCAATACTGACCAGGTTTTAGAACCCTCTTTAGCATTGTCTTGTTGTCAGCTAATCATATCGCAAAAGATTAAATGAAACCCTAGGGAACAAAACAAAGTCCATGTCACAATACAAGTATCTACTGGTTACGCGGCAATCCGTTCTGAATATGCCGAAGTTTAACCCATGAAACGACCTTCGACCGCCTCCAGTTTCTTGAAGATGTCCCGCCGTATTTCAAATGGCCGATTAGCCAAGTCCGTTGACGTATTTCACATTTTCTCGGCCACTTGTGTGTACCAATGACTCTCCAATTTAGTATACGTAACTCGGCCTGAATAATCAATCCCATGCGATTATTTCCCCTCTGTTGCTATTATTGCATTGTGGACTCTCCATGTGTGATATATAAAATCAATGTTATTAACATTTTCTGCTTGCAATCCTTTTAAACCTGGGACTTCCAAGTTCCGTTTGTAAAAATTATCGTTGGTCTTGGACTCAACACCTCCTTGGAATCCCAGCGCTTGTGAGGTGACTCAATGCCATGATGAGGCGACGACTGACAACTCTGGTCAATAGTGTAAGTCACCCTTTTTTTTTAATTTATTTTTTTCGCGCATTCATATACGTATAATCCTCTATGCTGGACTGCTTCTGCACAGACTGGATCTTTGGACTAATATGTTGTGGAAAGCGAGCTTCAAGGAAGACTTCTGAGGATGCAGAGGACAATAGCCGGTATTATGATTTTGACAGTGTGGCTGTCAGTTCAAGGCCGCACTCCCCTTTTATCGATCGACAACGACTATCGCCGCCGCTAGAAAGACAGTTGCAGCATGCGTGCCTCGTTCTGTATCAGAAAATACAATTTCCAGAGAGGTGGGAAGATTTCGGCAAATGCACGAACCCAACGAGTGATAGCCATTCATCCTGCAAAATCTCTTCGTTTACCGTCCCAGATCATATAGCTGCGGATGTTGATGTTGTCCCCGCTTGTGATCAGGACAGGCTGTTGAACGAGAATCAAAAAACTGTTTCGAATATGAAAAACCGACATCGCATCGGCAAAAATGTTGATTCGGAATGGAAGCGAGATTCAACCCACGGACGGGCCATGTGTGCCCTCGAACAATCATTTGCATCACGTACCGTGTGTGGCAATGGCGCTTCAACAACATTTCAGAATCAGTTCGGTGGTAGAGCAACTTTTGCGAATGATACTGTTAACGGGTCCCCAGAGCTTCGAAGCAGTTTCAGCCCACAAACACAAATGAGAAATCATAACGATTTCTCATTCGTACACGGTATATCAATAAACGCCCCGACAATCGAGGAGCGTGCTCCCGATGAAGCCGGGCAGCACAGAGATATTGGAGAATTGACTGGAATGCTAACGAAATCTACCAATCGAGAATTCCAGTCCCCAGTTTCCGCAACACTATTGCGAAATATCTCACACTCCTGGCAGCAGATATCGCACAAATTTCAACTAGAACGATACGACACCATTTCGGTTTTCGAACTGGAAAAGTCTCTACTACAGGATGATCTTAAAGCCCGCTCAGCGGACCTGGCCAACCGGAAATACAAATCCGACATCATCCAAACCCCAATCCTTCTTGATGAATGTGAGACAGATTCATCCATCAACACACTTACCGATACGGAATCATGTAGCTCCCAATCCTCAAGCGGCATGGTAATAATTGACGAGAATGGCTTGGAGAAAGTGATGACGCTTGCTGAGGAAAAGCGACGCCGTTTGGCCCTTGAACGCGCAGTTATGGCGAAAATGTCTGGCGGCCTTCTTGCTCCAATACCTAATAGGGATAAAGCTGTGGCCCCCCCACTCGAACCCGCCAAATCCACCAACCTCACTAGCTTCGTTTAGAAGCAAGTAAGTCCCCAAGCTTCAGTTGAAAATATTCGTCGGATGATGGTACTCGTAGTGAGCGAATCCGAATTACACAGAACAGGCAGGCGAAAAGCAGCCCCCCCCCTCCCCCCCCCCGAGGGTTGAAGTTATCCACACTGGGCCTTGGGAGAAAGAAGTTTGTTGCAAAGGGGGAACGGTATTGCTGGCTTCGGTGCCGTAAGAGAGGCGAGGTAACCTGTTTTGAGTTGGGCTTTGTCGCATGTGCTCGGAATGTACATACACCTCACACTCTCTTTTTCGCCTTACTATTCTGAACGAAATTGACGGTCAATTTTCTTCCGCCTACGGATTTTAACGATAAGTTTACATGTTTATAGATATGCAACAACCCCCACCCCCTCTTCCCCCCCCCCTTATATATATTAACGCCATCTTTCATATTTTTATTCTTTCCATTCGAGAGCGGGTATACATCAAAGTGAAAGTTTATTCCTCTTGTTTCGGCGTTTCATGTATATACCAATTTTAGTATCTCCATATCTCCTTCAATAGTACCAAATCTTGCTGTTCTTTCTTTTCTTTGTTGCTATAACACATATATTTGCTTGCCTTCATCCTCTGATAAGATGTACTTACTACTTGACACCATGCTAATCTGGATGACAATCAATTCAACGCTCCTTTTAACTATCAGCATTCATCGCGGACTCGAAACATGCCGATTGCTTGTAAAAGAAAGTGTGTTAACTACTCAGCTAGGATACATTGTTATTTTGGGTTATTCATGTTCTCATATGTATTCAAGGCATAGTTTAAAAGAGTATGTATGAAACAGCTCTCGAACCTCAAAAATCCACAGCGTGCATTTGAAGTGGTAACTACTTGAGGAGGCCGACCATCAAATCTTCCCCACATCCATTAATCCCGTTGAGATTTTGGCTGCCAACCACCAATGTTAACCACCGCTCTACTGCATGCTATTTTACGTCAACTACACCTTGCTTAAGCAGCAGCATAAAACAAAATGACGAGGAATGAAGAAGTAGAGGGAAGATATATTTTCATATTAACCGAAAGAACGGAAAAGAAATGACATTTAGAGGATTAATAAATAAACAGGTTTCATGACAAAAATGCTGCTGCATCCAGTTAATCAGGCAAGAAAGGGAAAAGGAGAATCAACGCACGTAGGCGGGTGGAACGATGTTCAATCAAAACCCAACAACCCAAATTCAGCAGACATTCAATATAAGTTTCTGAGTGAACTTCGTAAAACCCCGTTCATTATATCGCCCGATTTGGAGGAAGTAAAATGTCTTGAGTGGATTTTGTCTCCCGAGGAACAACTGAAGAAATCTCAAAAAGGGAGTAAAGGAAGTAATAAAAAGGACCGGGAAATGCCGTCAAATGGTTTAAATAAGCGCATTCATTTCAAACACTGGAAAAACAAAATAGACGTTCAATGTCCACGTCTAGGTCTCTTATTTTCACCTCCTATCCTGGAGGAACCGGCAGCGGAAGCCCCGTCATCCACGTTGCTACCTGCCAATCTCCCACGCTTTCGGGACCAGGACCCTCCGCCTGTATTGCCACCTCCACTGGCACCTCCAGCGGCACCACTATTGCCGCCACGTCCATTACCCAGATCCCTGCGCTCTCGATCTCGGTCGCGGTCGCGATCACGCTCCCGATCCCTGCCCCGCTCACGATCTCGATTGCGATCCTCTTCTCGGCCCCCGCTACCCCATCTGCGATTTTCAGTTTCGTTCGATGCTAGAGGAGGAGGGGGTGGAGGAGGTGGGGAAACGTCAGATTTCCCACGACTCTGACTTTCGTAGGTGCCCACGTCACGCTCACGCTTGTCCCTTCGCCTGGTGGAGACTGGCTCCCTGTTTGCGCTCGAGTTCTGAGGGGGTCTTCGCGACGAGGATTCTCGTGAGCCACGGGCTTGTTCCCGGCTGCTGATATCGGCAGCTCGACCACGGTCGCGATCACGGTCACGGTCACCTTCCCGATGGCGCTCTCGATATTCGTCCCGCTTCGTGCTGGCTCTTGAAGCCTCCTCCTCGCCCCTACGACTGGTATCGCGTTCCCGCTCTCGATCTCGGTGTTCGCGGTCTCTTTCTCTCTCGCGTTCTCTTTCACGGTCTTTTTCACGATCTCTTTCGCGATCTGGGGTTCGAGTACCACTCGAGTGGCGCGGGGAACGTCGCGACTCTGCTGCTGCTTCCTCTATAATTTCGCTTCTCCGGCCAGCCCTACCATGCCCCCGAGGCTCTTCCTGTGAAGGCGCCACCTGTGGTGCTGAGGCATCTGAGCGGCTTGGGAATAGATCCGGTTTTTCTGAGCCTGAGGGAGGAGCTGTACCAGAATAAGTGTCACCTTTCGATCCGATGGGAGTTTGAGGTCGAGTAGATTGAGGTGATGGTGCGTTCAATGAATTACCACCAGTACGATTTGCCCCCCTTCCCCTTATTGATGTACCCATTACAGATTTATCCGCTGGTCCGCCAAACTGCTGAAGCATGTTGTTTAGACCCGCGAACCGCTTATCTCCCCTGCTTCTTTCACCAGAAAATGGTACTCCGGGAGGGCCTCTTGTGGTCGGCGAAGGACCGGAAGGCGGATGTCCACCACTCCGTGGCCCAGATGGAGGCAAGGATGTTGGAGATGCTGTTGTCTGCGTTCCGTCGTCTCTGGGAGATTGAATCGCCTTCAGACGGTCAGGGTGAATACCAGATGTGTCGATTTTTTCCACGGGAGCAGGTGCGGAAGATGGCGCCGTTGCTAACTGCTGATCGTGCTGCGGAGGATTCCGCGCGAGAGGTCGATTTGATGGGCCGGTGGGTGGCTGGCGGTCAGTTGACTGTGGTGGAATAGGAAGGGGCTGCGACAATGATGGATTTCTGCCACCTCGTTGGGTAGAAGTCTTCCTTGGTCCAGAAGGGATATCCTGAGGCCTGTCAAACGACTCTTGTGGGCGTAACGGGAATTTTGAATCTTGGTTTAACCGTCCATATGACGAATCTGTGGTTGATTGATATGTTGATCGAGAGTCTGGCGCATGACGATTATCAGCTGCTGAAGAATGATTTCCCCTGTCACCTTTGGGTCCTGTTGGTAGATCATCAGATCGCGCTGGTGGTTGGGAACTGGTAGGTTTTCTCTCTTCACGTTCCTCTCGCCTATCGGACCTATTCTGGAGACGAGAATCATCTGCTTTTGGAGGGGTGGAGGGTCGGGAGCTACGATTTCTTCGACCATCTCTTTCGGCTCTAGGAAGTTCAAGTCGCTGGTGAATTCCAGTTTCTGTATGGAGCCGGGATGGATGGTCGCGGTCATGAAGATCAGGCACATTAGCCGCCCGATATTGATGTACATCCCCTTCTCTGAAGGAACGGTCCGAGTCTTGTCGAACTTGGAAAGCATCTGCTTGAGAAATTCTTCCTCTACCCATCCTATCAGACCATTCCTGATCCCTAGGCGATGGTCGTGCATCCCTGTACCCGGGTCGTCCAAAATTATCTTCAAGGGGGCGTGAGGGAAATTCTCTGTCTATCCGATGACCATCAAGCCTATCCCTATCTCCAGGACGTTCGTTTGGTCGCCCGTGGCTACGGGGATCGATAGGGAGGGCATGTTCAAATGGCCTCTCACGATCCTGGCCACCGAACCGCCCAGAGCGATCTGGATGTCGATTGTCTCGAGCATCTCTTCGCTCATCGGGCACATTGGGAGGTCTCATAGTCATCCGTTCATCAGGGTGTCTGAAGGAGCGAGGAGGTTCTGGCCGATTTGGTAGGTTTGCCTGAGGGCGGACAGAAGTATTGTGTTGGGGAGGGTAACGGTCAACATCCGGGCGCTTTGGAATGCTTGGTGGATGTGAAGATTCTGAAGGTGGTCGGCTAGCCACTCGTAATGGAGCTGGTGATGATGATCTGTGACCTGAAACAGGTGTTTGTGAATCTCCCAGGGTGGCTGGTGTGGTCGATGGCTGTTGTGAAGAAGGTTGCGAAGGAGTCTGCGAATGGCCAGTTGCAGGCTCTGCAACCTTGGCTGGCTCCGTTTCTTGTATCACGGGGGTTTTGTCATTCTGTTCCACTTTGTCTAATTTACTCGTAGAAGCGGTTTCCATTGCGCGCGAAGCATCGGACACCTGCAGTGATTGGGCATCACCTCTCGCGGCTTTTGCTTTTATGGCTGCGTTGTTCAACTTCTCTGCCATTTTCGCATCTTCAATCTCGCCGTCTTCAACCTCTAATTTCCCAGGCCCATGTGGCTGTGCATCATTTACCCTAGGTATGATCAGAAAAAGTCCATCTCGTCGGGGGGGGGGGGACCAATTTTGATCGACTCACGTGGTGGACGACCCAGATGGTTTAAAGTCAGGAGCGGATGCATTCAGTGATTTGGGAGTAGTTGATTGAGGTTGCGGCGTGCGTGCTTTAGCCTTGTCACTCGGTAACGATTCATTCTTTGGAGGATTAGCCGTATTCCTCCACATTGCAGATAGGTAGACTCACAATCATGAAAGCCTGCGGAAGTAACCATTTCTTCTCTCTTCTATTCAAATCTCCAATCAACGAGGCTGCAGGAATTTTAACATCGTCACGAGGATCCATTGTCTTCAGGTTGTTCACGCAGGTATGCATGTCTCGGCCAATCCAATTAACCGCAGGGAAATGCTGAACAACTGCCTTCAATACGCTAATGGCGTTCCGGATATGCATATACTCGCCTCCTGAAAGGCAAGTCTTCAAGCAGGCACCAAAAATGCGATGCCACTTGTAGAAAATCCTGCGGAAGTCTTCGTAATCTAAAAATGACTTTGGCTTTCCTTCTTGATCAACTGCCATGGCAAATCCTGGGAGATCCCTTTTAATTCCGTACGCTTCTTTCTCGTAGACGGCTTTATCGGCATGCCATCGGGTCAAGTCGCGAAGAACTTCGTTGAGGAAACGACCGAAATTATCAGCTTCCTTGGAAGTACTTTGGAAGATGATGGCTGTAAGCCGCTGTTCGCGAAACAGCTGATCAAGAAATCCTACTGTTCGGAAATTTGGCGTCCCAGATGAATGGAGATACTTGAGCATCTTGAAACTGTAGAAAGCATCAATAGGCGAGAGAAGTAACCGGGGTAATAGACACTGTTCCATCACGGCAATGTTAAGAGCTTCATGTTTCCCTCTCAGTCCAACAAACCATCGGTCTTTTTCCTTCTGTAACCTTGCCCTATTTAATCCGTAACATCTCACATGTGCCTTGTTCTCAGCTAAAATTCGGTCATGAAGGTCATTAATGAGTTTTTTCTCCTTATCCTTTTTTAAGGTACCGGCTATGCTAACATCTGAACGGTCTTGCGAAATGGCCTGGATTTTTTTCTTGAGCCGTTCAAGTTCTTCTTCGTAAGCACGCTGGGGAACATGAATGTCATAGAGTGATAGCTGCCAGAATGTCACAAAGAATGGCAGACCAACAACTTCCCATGAGCTTCGTGGCATCGCTGTCTTGATCTTATCCATCAGGCCTTCAAGTACAGGATGCCAAGGTACACTTTCCGGATCCGCTTTAGAGGTGCTTGATGTGTTTGAAGCGTTCGTTTTCGCCTCACCCTGGTTATCGTTAGTATTAGATGTCGATTCTTCAGTAGAGATCGTCACATCTCCCGACGAATCCTCTTTTTCGACAGCTTCCCCATCGTCTGCCATCTCTAGATCACCATCAGGGCTCTTAGAGGCGGGGATGGTTTCGGTTTCTGGTTTCTTTGCCGCTTGCTCTCGTTTCTTCGTGTCAACTTCAGCAATCTGATGCGCAACGCTCGGGCGCGTAATCCAGAATGCGACTTCCGGCTGCAGTCCAAATTCGCCAATGAGACTTGCCACATCTGGCACGAAAGAGTCGAATTCTTCAACCGTGAAATTGCTTCGAAGAAGATCAATATATTGAGTGAGAACCCGATGTATCTCATCGAATATATTGCCAAGTAGTTTCAACTCGCCGTCAGCTTCTGATTCCTTGAATATACATGTAGCTCGTTCTTGCGCGACGGCTATCAGAAGCTGCCCGGCAAGCTTAGAATTCGCCAAAGATTTTATTAAGCGCCGGGAGGTTATCTTGGATTCGTGACGTTTATCAAGAAGTTGTAACATGGTCTGTGATTGTAGAAGTGCACCACCCGCCATTGCTTGAATTTGGGAGTCGTTGAAATTTGTGTCAGTAACTATTCCAGCCATGGAGCTGATAAGCTGCTCTAGAATGACGAGATCGGTGGAGTTGTTATGTCGAAGCTGTTCACCAACGTATTGAAGGACGGGAACAGGGTCCATGATGGTAGAATAGCGTTTGAATACCCTGCCAACAAAGGAAGCAAGGGCATTGAGCCATCTACTTGTTAGCAAACCCCCATCTTGAACTCGACTCCTCCCTTTCTGACCAAGAGAATTGATCAATGACCAGGTTAGAATATCATATCCCAAGTACGTGAAATATCTGGCACATTCCACAACTACTTCAATTAGGTTCTCATATGCTTCGATCTGGTTGATGGCGACGCTGATGACAATTCCCGGGTTAGCGAATGCTATTTTAGCCAAGTTTCTAGCCATCGGCTTAATGTTGGTTTTGCTTAGTCTTTTAAGGGCATCCTTCGTTTCTGCTCGTGCCTGATCGAAGGCCGATTTGATATCCGGCAACCGGGAAGTTTGTCCAGAATACCACTCAGCATAAATGGAATATCTCACATCTCGTGCGAAGTGGCTCAGCAGCTCAAATACCTCATTGACGACTCCAGGGTTTGCTCTCGTTAAGCTCAATGCGGGAACCAAAAGGCGCTTGCAAAGATCTCGCCATCGCATCTGATTTGATTCCGAAGGATCACTTTGCAGACTTTTGTTTCCAAGCCTTGCCAATTTCGTCAATAGGCCAGGATCTTGCCCAATTTTGACACCTGAAAGATTTAAAAATGATCCACAGAGAGTGAATACATCATCCACAGTCTGGCAAACGGGAATATTATCTGTCCAATCGTCCCAGTAAAATCGATAATCAGTCCCATCGTTGGTATCTTCTTTATCTAGTAATGCCCACCGAAGAACGCGTCGAGGAGGTTGATCAGTCAATCGAATATTGCCCTTTGGAAGGCTTGCTTGGTCAGAGCTGGTGATCTTCTTTTCACTCTTGATGTCGCTCCTTGATGATAAAGGCCGCGAGGAGTCACACAGCTTGCTCAGAGAATGGTGTATAATACGGTGGATAAATTCTGGAAGCTCGGGGTACGCATCCAATAGCCACGGGAATCGCCCAAGAATATAGAGGGACTCTGGCAGGGCGCCAATAGCGAGTAAACTCTTTAAGAGCAGCACTTTTTGATCTGCTGGCTCCGGCAATGATTCCTTTTTTTCGTCAACTTTTGTTTGGGCTGTTTTGTCCACATCTTGGTCCTTGGCAGGAGTAGCCGCGCGGGTATCAGCTTCTCGGAGTCTAGACATCGGGACGGGTATTGTATCGTCACTCAAGGCTCCAGCCATCATTAGCGCATTCATCGCACCAGCACCAGGTCTAGCAGCTAGTTCTCTTTGCTCCTTCTCTTTCATTTTCTCCTCCTTTAGCTCGTCCATAGATTCATCTGGTCGCCATAGGTGAGGATAGAGATCCCGTAGAGAGATAAACCCGACTTTTATGAGCAAAGCGGCTAGATATATGAGATTATCCGGTAGAATATCAGCCGGATTCCGAGCATCTGAGGAATAAAATCGGAGTTTGAATCCCAGCAGTTGCGCCGCGACCCCGTTGCCCTTGGGTGGGAGGGTCCCAGTTTGTTCAATCCATTTCAGAGTATCATTGTCTTCCTCTGGGGAGTTGCTTTTAAATTCCGATAATGATTTTAATTGTTTCTGTTCCAATGATTGGTTGCGGCCTATCTCGAAGAACGCGCGGATGCCAACCTCTCTAGCTCGATCCCAAAAAAGGCGATCCCGTTTTTCATTTGCACGAAGAGCTTCTTCCCGGTCCTCCTCTGTTGTCGACCAGCCGGCTGAACCGGGCAGGGCCCATTTAGGTAAACCAGGTTCGGAAATCCCGCCATAACGTCGCAGGAAAGATTCCTCCTTTGGCCACCATGAGCTAACCCGCAGGAATTTGACGAAGAATCGATTCTTTTTGACAAGGACAGCCGCGAACACATCTAGCGTGACATCAAGGACTCTTCCGACGTCCATATCAAAGGCACCTATCATAGCCTTCACTCGTTCGAAAGTATCTTCAACGACTTCGGCTGACGGGGGCTCATTGCTGCTAGTTGTAAACAATTCTGTCAGCAACTTGGAGTACCCTTCCGATTCTTCTCGTAGTAAGTTATAGTTCGACTGTCGATAAAGAAGGTTGGTTTGTTTGCGGATGCCCATGCGAGCGAAGGTGTCACGAATTAGACCAAGCGATTGAAGTAACGGAGTTTCAAGCTGTTGTCGCATAAGGGTAGGGGAGATTCCAGTCGAAAACACCAGGGTACGAAGGCTGGAGTGAGATGTGTTTGCGTCGGCTATAACAGAAAGGGTATCAAGGAAAAGAGAGCGAACATCGAAGGTTTGTGCGGTGCTCGTTGATCCATCCACACTAGGTATGTCATCTGCAGCGACATCTTCGCCTATAATTTCCTTCACGGAGGTCCCACCATCGACTGCAGATATCCGGCTATCGATAACGGACTGAATAATCTCCTGAAACACGGATGAGATCACTAAGGCGTCCTCCGCCTTCCGAGCACTGACCCCGATATCGATCACGGCTTTCCTCCCCATCAAGGTCCACGCATCAACGTACTCCCGCGTAAGATACTCGTAGGAATAGAACATCGCTTGAGGTTGAGATGAGGAAGTAGGTGTTGGCGTCGACGGCGTTCTGCTTGGCTGAGATAATTCGGGAGGGTCTCTTTGGGATGTCATTGCTGATCTTGACGAGGGAGAGTTTTCTTTCTGATGGGAGTTTTGACCTTCGCTTGCCCTCCGCGCAGGCGTACCATTTCTATTGCCGCCTCTGCTTGTTCTTCTGCCTCCCCGATTACGAATATCGGTAGAATCTCGACCCTGACCGTTAAACTGATTCTGTTGATGCTGCTGGGCGAGATTGAGATTTCCGGGACGATGAGGAGACGGCCGCCAGCCATCATTTCCCGCATCTCCAGACCATGATCTGTCACCGCGTTTACGCTTCCCACCAGCTGCAGAAGGCATGGTGGATTTTTTGGGCGCGTTGTCGCTCAGGCAGATGAAGTTTGGCCTTTCCAGGGGCGACTCATGAGGAAGTCAAGTGTAAATGGTGGTAGAGCAAAAAGGATTTAGCGAGAATAAGGTCAGGTAGATGAGGAAGACGGAGAGGTGGAGAGGGCTACCAGTAGCCTATCCATATGAATCAGGCGTACCGGGTTTTCACGGTGAACTTCGTTTGTCTGGTGTTGTTTGTTGGATCGACACTATGTCAGAGTGAAAGAATCCTCAAAACGCACGGAGACTTCTGGATTTGGTTTAGCTATGGCGCGCTAAATTAAGGTCAAACTAGGCTCGCGTTTAACTAGCCAATAATACTGCCAAATAACCGCTCTGACACGATTTCGATTTTGGAGCTGTAAAGATGGCAGGAGCGAACAAAACTACTCCGTACACTATATCGAACTACCTACACCTGGAACAAATGGATGTATCCATATATCTGTAGGTATAGGATATGTATATGTTTATTCTTGAAAAATCCCACTCCTACACTCTTAGCGCGACTTCAACAACCACTGCGATAAGTCAAGAATATACGCCAGACAAAAACTGTGTTAATATCTTGATGTTTAATGTGCTGCAACACATATGGCATCCAGTACACACAGCTAATTACTGCGCTCAAGATTCAGAGCCTTTGCCTCAAGGTCAACAATCTTTGGCAGTAATTCACGAGCAGCCGGGCGGTGCGGGTTCCAGCCAAGCAATTTCCTTGCACGGATGGCATGAGCCCTTGAATTGGTTCCCCATGAAAATGGACCAAAGGAAAACAGTTCTTTGGTCTGTTTGCCATCCAGGATATCAACCTCCGGAGTTGGAATCAGGCCCTTCTCAAAGGCAATCTGGGCCACGGCTTTCTCCACATCACCCCAAACAAACGATCCGTTCTCGACAAAATAATACCCTTCTTTTCCCCATGTTGCCTTCCCACTTCCAGCAGCAGCGGCCTCGCCAAGAAGGAGGAACAGATCGCTCAGGTCGTGAACGTGGACTTCATGCCAGATATTCTCACCCTTGCCCACCTGGAGCCCCTTCCTTCTTTTCAGCACATATTTGGTCAGGTTATATATCTGGTTGCTTCGAGTATTGCCCGGGCCCCGCCCCGGCCCATAAATTGTAGGAGGGCAGACGATTGCCGTCTTGACCCTATCGGCAGCATTCTCCCCAACTCCAAGCACGATCTTGTCAACGTCTCGATGGAATGCTTCATCTGGAAGGGATGTCACTTCGCTAATGCCATCCCAGTCGTTGTATTCCTTTGTGCGGAGATCGCCAAAGGTCGAATTTCCTAAATCTTCGAAGGTGAGAATGCCAGTTCCTGAAGTGTGGATCCAGTAGCCTGGACGATCAGGTGTATGAGCAGCTATGCCCTTCGCGATTGCCTGCGAGGAGGCAACATGATCGCAGTCCGCAAAGTCTGTGTAATAGGCAAGAGGTAATCAACACGTTAGCCAGCCACATCCAAACAGTACAAGATAAATATTATTTGGATGACAGGTCGGCCATACGATAGACTATATCTGCCTTCTTTGCCTCTTCCTCGAGAATCTCAGCAGCGTCCAAGTCCCCATAAACGAGCTTAGTGTTTGGGTATTTGCTAGTGACCAATTCCCCTTTTTGTTTATTGCGAACGAGGGCGGTGAACTCCCATTCTGGATGAGCCTGATTAATTTGGAAGAAAGCGTCTCCCCCGATGTATCCTGTAGCTCCAGTTCTGGGCTTTGTCAGTGCGCCTCTATAGAATACTCAGACGTAGACCCGTAACTAACACAAATACTTTAGGCGGAGCCATGGTTTTGCAACTGCGGGGAAATACTCTATTTAGTAGATACCGAGATCAAGGAGGGGTAAGTTAAGCTGAATTTTGGCCTAAATGATCGAGTCGGTTTGAATTGGCAGACAATCTAAGCACTTTCAATAGGCAATATTTTAATGGAAGTGGTGTGTGTGGTTTAGAATACAAGAGACGGTGCAGTCCAGTCGCTTTTATACTCCATACCGCATTCACGTAACTATTTTAACCCCAAATCTTTTTCGCTGACTGCCGCCCCCGTAACTAGGTGGTTAAACTATCAAAAACAGCAGTGGGGTAAAACACCCCATTCTTGGATCCACTATATCTGTCCTACCGTTTATGACGCCATTTAACCGTCGATAAACTCCAAACTTGATCTGGGTATTAAAGACAAGTGTCTTCCGGTAGGCTGTGTGGGTTGTGATATGATAGGAGCTCTCCTTCTACAGTATAAATGAATAAAATAACATCTATATTGATCTAAATAACAGATAGATGGTTATGAGCCAGTGAACTTGATTACTCTTGAGTTTCTCGATTTTTAAATCAGACAATTAATCATCAATTTTGTTCAAGAAAGATGTTAAAATTTGCCCTGAGAAAATAAAAAGATATATTAACTGCCTAGGTGAGATGTCAACATACGGACTAGGTTTTTAGCCAATATAATATCATGCTCCACTTATCTCTAATTGGAAGATATAGTTAGAGAAACTATGTAATAGTTTATTGATAGTAAATATCATATAATTAATTAATTTGAATCTTCAACATTAAAGGCAATTCTAAGTATATCTATTAAGGCTGGCTGATATTGACCGCAGATCTTTGTAGTGTTAGCATATAAATAAAGAGAATCTTTAGCGAAAAGCATAACTTCACTCTGACAAATTTCAAGTTTGTTGATTCAGATACCAAGAGGAGGCATTCAAATACTTATAAGAAAATTCTCTCATCATACTTTGAAGGCTCATTTGACAGTTACATACCAGAGAAGAGCTATCAACCAGTGTTCCGAATTATTCTCACATTAAATAGAGATCATGCTAAACACTAAATATATGGGGGAAAGAGTTAATGTTTTGTTCTCAGGTGCTAACTATTCTCTGACTGATCTTTACCTCTTTGAACTCTTTGCATTTAATAGTAATTAGCAGCAGTCAGCACAATCATGAATTGCTGTTCCTCTTTTGAAACATTCAGAAATTCTTGTATTTCAAGGAATTTCCGCAGGTCTTTCTTCACTTCCTCAGTTTGTTCTATTGAATGAGCAGTATCCAGGTTGATCAGAATAACCTCATTGGAATTGTTAATGATGAAATGTAAACACATCGAAGACTGTTTCTGTTGGCCGCATAAAGGAGTATATAGAGCTTAAGGTATCATGAGCCCTCTTTGCCTTATCAGCATTCTTGCCCATGATATGGTTGGAGAGGAAATAGGTAAGATGAAATAGTTCCAAACTGATATATTATATGGAATGTTGGTGGGACTGTAAGGAAACGATTCTTCCAACAGGAAACTCTGTAAATTTCGAAATTGGAGGTCAATATCAGCAGACATATATACCTACAGTAGCCGACAGCAGCGCGAAGGCTGCCAGTCAGAAAACACAGGCTGCATGACTTTCACGACGCTTCCGCAGAGCACGATCACTTGTTAGCAGAATGAGCTTCAGCCCCTATCACTGTGATGTCTGTTGACACATGATTGGAGACATGAAGAGAAATTAGATTCAACATACAGAATGAGAAAAAATCTCTTAGATATCATTCTTCTGCGCTGTGCTAATTATATCAAGACAAGAGGTAATGGTAAAATGATAACAACATTTTGTTCTCGTCGTCTTTCTTAACTAGTTACCTACCGCGGAAAAATTACATTAACAATTGGCCGATATTGCAACATAAAAAGATAGGATATTAACTAAAATAGTTAACTAGTTAGTTAGTGAGTTAACTATAGCTATCTCTGAGCAGCTTAATATCAACAAGACTTCCCTCAATTTTCGACAGCGGTGGCTTGCCAAGCGTTTTATTGTAAAACGATCACCTTCAATGCTGGATTCCATACCCCTGTAACCTCGTATTTGCGTCAAAATGACAAAACCAGTGTTGCAGGGCGCGTTCACAGGCAAGTTCCCCGCGCTTTTTACAGGGAAAGTCGAAAATATCATGTTTCTCGTGTTTAGCATAAATGAGAACTTGGTCACCTCCAGAAATCGGCCTAAACGACTCCGTATTTCCATTCCTTACTTTACAAGTCCCATCATACAGAAGTGAAATGTGTATATTCCAACTGCGATTGGGCACACATCCCTATACATATATTTAACCATAAGGTCCAGCAGAGAAAAGAATAACGAGAAGGAAAGACAGACAAAATGTCTACCAGCACCTCAGTCCTCACCGGCGGTTGTGCATGCTCTCACATCCGCTACTCCTCCACAGCCCTTCCGTCCCACCTAACCCACTGTTTCTGTGTTGAATGCAGAAAAACAGCCGGCGGGCCCTTCCAGTCCTACGTCCGCTTTCCCACGGCAGCCGTAACATGGATTAACGAGGGGCATGAACCGATATATTTCCACGCCAGCACCTTCGCGCGCCGTGGGTTCTGCGACAAGTGCGGTTCCAGCTTGGTGTTTCAAATGAATGAGAGTCCGGAGAGTATTTCGTTGACAGCGGGTTCTATTGATGACTGGGATGTGAAGTGGGATTCAGATGGAGAACAGAAAGAGGGGGGGAAAGAAGGGGCGGGAAAAGAGGGATGGGACAAGTTGGTTAGGTCGTCAGTGTATTATTGGGCGAGAGAGAAGCCATCTTGGCACAAGTTACCAAGCAATGGGGTGGTGGAGTATTTCACGGATCCCGATATTGAGGAGCAGCCGCCGGGATGGAGGGGGGAGGAAGAGGGTCCTTGGGAAACAGTCAAAAAGGGGTAACTTGGCGGTTTGAGTTTTTGATTTGTAGGAGGGTATCAGCCGTCATGGAGAAGAGAGGAGAGTAGCTGGAGCTATATTTCCAATTTGACTTGAAAACATCTGCGTCGGCACCTTTGTTATGACATTTGATCTGATAGCTCCCCAAATGGAGGCCATGATATAAATTCGATTGGAATGGAAGAGCATATCGTTGTGTAATATTCTTGAGACATCCAAAGTTAAAACTGAGAATGAAAATACATGTTGCATATCTTTTCGTCCTCGCCTAATCTCTCAAAAGGGGCATCGAACTCCGGCCGCCACCCTTTACCACGACAAATAATACACCTCACACCTCGTTCTGCTTTTATTGCTATCTACTATTGTGGGATATATCTACAAGGAATTGGCTTTTTATATAAAGTAGTCGGGACTTCATCTCGACAGCGATGCCCGGAGGGCAACAGGTCTTTTCCTTGTGTGGTCCCCGTTTGCAGGGCATCCGCTTAAAAGTGAAACTATGTCAACAATTAGCAACATATTTCTCATTCCGTATGCTGACAGGAGTCTTTACTGGACACCAAGTGGAGGGCAGGAGGGTTGAGAGGGCCATGAGAGAGGCAACAAGAAAGAAAAGCCAGCCTGAGAGAGAAATGGCCAGTAAGTACTACTCGAATAGCTTTGCTGACGTTTTAAAAGCGTCACAAAAAAATCCTCTGCCACATTTCAATCACTGCTCTCCCTGGATTAAATGATCCTTTAACCCCCATGGCTTTTTCCTCGAATAAAACCAATTATACTAGGCCAACACGAGCCCTTCGCAAGGAATACGTGGCCATCTTCTCTTTGACCCTGTAATCCCTCGTAGAATCCTCTATTCTACGTCAATTTGTCATAAGGCTCGTCGTAGGGGCTGAGAGGGGCATTGAGGGTTGACAGAACTTTAACACTCTTCTTTTTCGCGCACACCCTACGCGCTGTAGAGGAGCAGGGTCGGGCCCTGGGCGTGGAGCAGGGGTATGTGTGGTGGGAGGTGGCGCGGGTGGAAGGGGATTTCTGCTGACTGGGGTGTTGAAGGAGGTAATGGAGGGGAAAAAGGTGAAGCGCAGTGCCCCTTCCCCTGAGAGGGCGATAAAGACAGGAGGAGAGCAGCAAATGGTAGTGGGTAATTGGCTGATGCTCTGTGTGTTGGGAGAGGGAAGGGGGGTTTAATTTTCCCTGTGAATGTTTCGTTTTGTAGGTGGAGAGCAACTATGGAATCACGAAATGATGAATTTCAAATTATAAAACAACACGATTTCGCCGAAAATCAGTTTATAGAAGAAGTAAGAAAAATGAGAAAAGGGAGTCTAGAGGCAAAGTAACCCATGGGATGGGTCCTAGCCGACAAAACCGTAACAAACCAACAGCTAATGATTGTAACTTATCATAAAATCTACATATATGTCATGCCATTCTCAAAACGTACTGGTAGCCAGGCGATTCGCTGCATTTTTAGCATCGACTCTATCATCATCTTCTTCCTCGGGTAGCCCAATCATTCCAGATGCACTAAGCGCGCGGTTGCGTGTTTTGCCACCATTGACCTCCGCATCATCCTCGCGTATCGGTGAAACGAAACCGCCACTAATACTTCTACTTAAACTGTCACCACGTCTCGGTACACCGCTCCACGCATCACCTTTGGGACCCTGGCTTGCAGCCAGACTGGCGCGACGAGCTGCAGGATGAGACTCCCGACCCAGACGGCTCAGGCCGCCAGAGGAATCAATCGCGCGGATGTCCGGGCGGACGCTTTCAAGTGTGCTAAGAGTGCGGCGCTCAGCTTCTATTTCTCGCAGGGTATATTCGCGAATGCTGAGAAGCATGTCGGATGTTGTCCGTTTGAACCAGCGGCGCTTTTCTTGCAGGAGGTTGGTAGTTACACGTTGTGTTTTCTTGATTAGGTATTCCTCGTGGCCCTGGGCATCCTCAAGGGCGCTGATGGCTTCATCAACCTTGTCTGATCGGACGGAGGTGCTCACTTTTAACCTGTCCGCGGCGGCACGTTTGCTTCGCGCCGTTTGCTGGGCTTGTATAAGTTCCCGGAGCAGGATGTGTCGATTCGTTAGGGTCTCCTTGACGATAAAGGCGTCGGATGAGTGGTAGTTTAAAGGGTCACCTAGTGTAGTGGCTTCTGCAGTTCCTTGTGCTGCGTGGTAGTCGCCTACTGTTTGGATGATTTTTCCAAGTTTGCGGTAGGCATTGGTAAGCCCAGGGTGGGTCTCTTGGACATGCATGTGACCCATTTTTACACCTAGATCTGATTCCGCCAGCCCAAGACCTAGATTGAATCAGTTAAACCTTGTAGTTATATTACGGGACAACGCAAACCTTACCTCGTCTTGCCTTCACGACACGGTCGACCTTCTGACCAGCATCCATGGTGCCCAAATAAAACAACTTAACAACAGGTCGCGCATCTTGGAGTTCGGGTGTGTCGTCCGGTGGAGGAGAGAATTGTTTCAGCACCTTCCTCCTTACTCCAGTGGCTGGTTGCTTCATTCGAACAACTGGGCTATAGCCGAAATCACTCTCAACGAAAAGGATCACCTCGTCATCCTGAATCAGAACGTCATTTGCACAGACGTAGTTGAGCCATCTCTGCATTGATGCCTTTACCCGGATCTCATCCTCATCCGTTCCAGCACCAGCCGAGGTCAATGGCGCAGGAACCGCAGGAACAATCGCTTCAGGGTTGGAGGATATCAAATGATCGGCAAGTTTAACGAACTCGGAATGGGTTCGACGAACATCGCGGAATTGAGTTGTCCGGAATTTTGGTATGTTCGTCTGTAACAACGATGGATATCAGCAAGGGCTCAAGGTTTTCAGGCAAAAAAAGAGATTTATCATACGTGGACATCAAATCTTAAGATAGGATCTTTTTTTCCAGTTCTTTCCAAGCCCGTAATCTTCGCTTGTAACTTGTACTGTGGGGCATTTTGCCGTGCTTTAGTTCTTGCTCCGGTTTGATATCTTGCCGAAACCTGTGCTCGCTGCGGCGGATCATGCTCTGTGGGGCCTGTTGGTTGAGCGGGACGTTCTCCATGGCTTTGGTCTTCGATCTGAGGACTCTGGGGTCGTTCAGATCGGTCCTGCGTAGAGAACTCTTCCTCCTGTTGTCCTTCATTGTCCATCCCATACGGAGACCGTTGTGGTGGTAATGGAGACGGGGCAACCTCAGATGTGGGGAACGTCCGATCGACTCGAGGTAAAGTTGAGACCCACGGAGATGTACCGTCGGGATGTTCGGGGTCATGAGGAAGAGACGAGTAATCCATGACAGCGGAACTTATTTATATCTTAAATGGAATATCAAAGCCAGCCAACCGAGAACCTGTGGTCAGAGTGGGTTTGGTCAAAGATAGGCACCAATGTTGGTCACAGTGTTTGCCCTAGCAAGGCCAAGAACTTCAGCACAAAATGCAAATTGCCACAGGCCTGTTGGGATATAACTGTTAGGTAGAAATCCCCACGAAATATCAAAACCTCGAGGGTGATGTTCTATCCATTATATCTGTTAAGATTGACAACAGAAGGGAATGGAAGAGGCGAGCGACTTAAGGTGGCGCTAATGGCGTTTGCAGTTAACGATTCTTAGCGCTATAGTAACCACGTGGACGGCGGCTACGGTTACCTGGAGATGAGGACAAAACAAATTACATCATCAACTCTTGCAATATTCCGTGCTATCATGGCTGTTCTTGTGGTTTAGTTGATTATTCATTGGATCAAACAATTGGAAATTCCCAATATCCGAAGCGGCGTCCATTGCAAATCTTTGCACCCTTATTTAGTTTCTGTTATCCATTGGGCATAATGATCCCAATTGCCCTACCCTCAAGATGGCTCTGTTCAAGGTGCATCCACAATATTAGAGCATCTCCGCCAGTACCATTGAGATACTTACCGTCCGCTTTGCGCATGTATTCAACCGGCTGTGAGGTGTCACGTGAGGTTTCAGCAGACCTAGACAGAACCAGAAATATCGGCATCATTGCTCATATCGATGCGGGCAAAACGACCACTACGGAGCGTATGCTCTACTATTCCGGCTATACCAGGAGAATTGGAGAGGTCGATGAGGGGTCGACAGTGACTGACTTTCTTCCTGCCGAAAGAGCTCGGGGAATAACAATTCAATCTGCAGCAATTACTTTCAATTGGCCGCCTAGACCATGGATAGAGCAAACAAGCCCAACACTTGAAGAGCTCAAAAGTAAAGGGCTCCCTAGATCTGCAGCGTCGCATACAATAAATCTCATTGACACCCCTGGACATGCGGATTTTACTTTTGAAGTCTTACGCTCTCTGCGGATCCTTGATGGTGCGGTCTGCATTCTAGATGGAGTGGCAGGAGTTGAAGCGCAGACAGAAAAAGTGTGGCACCAGGCTTCGACATACGCTATTCCTCGTATTGTGTATATAAATAAATTAGATCGTGACGGCGCTGCTTTTGGACGAACTGTTCGGGAAGTAGGGTCGAGACTGGGTGTCTGGCCCGCTGTCTGCCACATACCGTGGTTTGAATCTGCCTACGGTCGATTTCAGGGTATTGGAGATGCGATCTCTCTTCAAGGCCTTATTTGGGAAGAAGGTGGTGATGGGAAAAAAATCAAGGTGTCCAGTTTGGCTACCCTGGAAGAAACAGATGAAAAATTTGCGAGCGAATTGAAGAGAGCTCGTGTCGCACTTGTTGAACTTCTGAGCGAACATGATGAAGCCCTGGTCGAAAACTTCTTGGAACATGGTGAGGACCATCTGGCTGTAAAACCAATAGAAATCTTGGAGAGCCTTCGAAGGACCTTGCTCGATTCAGAAACAAGGGTCGTTCCTGTTTTTGCTGGAGCAAGCTTCCGAAATATAGGTGTTCAACCTCTTCTTGACCAGGTTCTGAATCTTCTTCCCAGCCCCAATGAACGCCCCGATCCAGAAATTCGCATTAGATCAGTAAAAGGGGGTCTACAAAGCCTGTTGAAAGGGGGTCTTGTTGTGCCAACCAGCAAGAAGGTTGTCGCAGAAAAAAAAACGAAGAAGCATGGTTCCCACCATTCCCACCACCAAGAAGTCCAAATGGCCATTGAGAGACTTGATGGATGTGCTCTAGCTTTCAAAGTTGTGAGCGATACTAAAAGGGGAGTCTTGGTTTACGTCAGGGTATATTCTGGATCAATCAACCGAAATGCCTCTCTATTCAACACAAATCTTAACCTGTCAGAACGGGCTCCTCGCTTATTGAAAATGTACGCTTCAGAAGCTGTGGAGGTGCAATCAATCCCAGCTGGACATATTGGCGTCATTGTTGGACTAAAGCACACAAGGACCGGTGATACATTACTTTCATATCCAGGAAACAAAGCCACTCCTCCGAAGCCACTCAATACGCTCCAACTACGCCCGATAGATGTTCCACCACCGGTGTTCTTTGCGAGTATCGAACCTGACAGCCTAAGTGAAGAAAAGTACCTCCATGAGGCCCTTGCATTGCTTTTACGAGAAGACCCTAGCCTCCATGTTACGGTTGACGAAGACTCTGGTCAAACACTGCTGAGCGGTATGGGAGAATTGCATCTTGAAATAGCCAGGGACAGGCTGGTGAACGACTTCAAAGCCAGAGCCTCCATGGGGAAAATCGAAATCGGCTACCGTGAATGCATATCTGGAACGTCCTCTGTAGTAACCAAAGTTTTCGACCGAGAAATTGCCGGTCGTAAGGGTAAAGCAGGCTGTACAGCACTGGTAGAATTCTTCAACCCCGACAAATCCGATGAAGAACAACTTGAATCATATGAGGACCTTCTGTTCGAAGAAACCCGCAATGGAAATCGCATCACGATCCTCACTCCGGATCTAATCCACCACAGCAAAAACCACAAAAAGGCTAAAATGCCCGAAGACCTTCTTCCTATCCACCTTGACCTCTCCATAATTAAAACGTCCATTTACAATGGAACTCTCGCTGCGCTAGCCAGGGGTCCAAAATACTCCTTCCCGCTGCACAATACACATGTCACGCTGAAGTTCGATATAACTACCGATCTATTTGGTGCTGAAACTACCCCATCTGCCTTATCCGCCGCAGCACGTCTCGCCACCCAATCCGCCCTAAAAGAAGTAGCGTCGACATCTGCGCTCATGGAGCCGGTGATGAATGTCATCATCAGTGTTCCTGAATCGAGCATGGGAGTAGTTGTGCATGACATATCATCAGCGCGAGGCGGGCACATTCTATCTCTCGACGATGACTGCGAGGCATCGTCTTCAAGGACGGATAATGACGACCTACCACCCATCGATGTATCTAAAATCTACGCCCCGCCCGACCCATTCGAATCGGCCTCGGTAGCTTCCAATACCAAGAGTCCGAACCAAATGCGAACGATAACTGCCAAAGTTCCGCTGAAGGAGATGGTAGGATATTTGAAGCATCTGCGGAGCTTGACTGGTGGGAGGGGGACATTTGTGATGCATGTGGATAGATTTGAGAAGATGGGGAGTCAGAGGGAGAAGGCAGTTCTGACAGAGCTGTGAGTGATGTAAAGTATGTATAGTAGATTAGATTAGCTGTTACTTTTTTCCTATTTTTGTATTTCATTGACTCATCGTTGCCAGAGATGCTTTCCGACGACATTTCGTAAAATTGCAAGTGAAGACAGGAAATCCCAATTTTTTCCGGAGTGGCCGCATAAATTTATTTCTTATGTCTATTTTTGTGTAAGAAACACAACAGAAACACCGACTCCTCTCCCTTTCCTCTCTATTCCAACCGCAGACCGACCACGAAATTGAGTAACTATCTCATTGTAGATGAGCGAACCTAGAGCGGAATAACGGAGGCTAATGAGGGTTGAAATGGAAAACAAGTGACCCTTTGGGTGTGCCTTTTCTTCTCCGTTAGTTATCGTTTATTTACAGGTCCACTCACATGTATATATAGTAACCTCAAGAGAGATAAATGATGCTGCGGTTTGGAAGAGAAACGTACACACATACAACAGGTATTAATACGTCGTTGCTCCTTGTTCCCCTGAACACCATGGAATTTGATCAAATTCCCAACCTTGGTCCTTGGAAATGGATTATAGTCTATGCAAGTCAATCCGGCAGCCAAGGTAAGTTGGGCTTGTTAGTTGTTAACTAATTGGTTGTAACTAATTATTAACCATGATAATTTACATTTTTGAACGAAGAAAGCAATGGTGAAAAGTCGGAGACTTCATGGTGTAACTAGAAAACTCAGTGGACATTAAACAAGAAAAAATCGCTATCTTTTGGCGGGCTTGCTTTCGACAAACTCTCAATCCGAAACTACGGATCTTAGTGAAGTATTCATCATTTTCTCATCTCCAAGAAGCTTTCCCATCGCCTCCGTATCTAGATACAACGTAATATCAATCCCTCCATCGTCTCCCCCAATATCCATCACCTGAAGACAGTCGTCCATTCTGGGCATAATTGCATGGATATATCAGGGTCCTATCCTTGCGCCTGATGCTGCGCCCACAAAGTCAACATTGTATAGACACAGACGTAACCAAGAAGTCACCAATGTGACTATGTTGCGTGCCCAAAAATGCCTGCAAAAGCCTCTGCGGCGATACCTCGTAGGCCGCGTCATGAAGCATGGCTCCAATCTTTGCTGGACTAAATAGCATCATCGTCCCCGGATTTGACTTGCCATCCTTCCCAGATTTGTAGCCATGCGTGCCTTCTTGCCAGGCGCTCGCAAGTGGGTTTGGAACAATGGAGAACCGATAAATGACTCCGGAAGTGGCGGGGATACATGCGTCCGAGCTCCGATAGACAGACTTAGAAACACGTCCTCTGTTGATTCCCCATGGTCCCGCGCTCAGTTGGATAGCAGCCCAAACGTGTGCGAGCAGCGCATCTAGTCTAGAGATGTTAGGGCAGCCGTTATCATCAGTGCGGGCTCATTCCTTTAACCGGGCAAGCTGCTCCCCAGTGAAATAGAATTGGGTATAAGTAACAGGCCTAGAAATATCCCATGTCTTCCATGGAGCAGCTGTCTATGGCGACAGCGTAATCCTCTTGAGCTGCACGACAGGAGGCTTGAATTCTCCATCGTTGGGACCATAAATTCCAATATCTGGAAGCGTCAGTCCCCCACCAGTCAAACCGGTGTAAGGGAAGTTGACGGGCTTTAAGAGACCAGCACTGCATCCGGAGCAGTCCCATTGATACCGCCTGCGGCACATGCGTCTAACCGTGCGGGTTAAAATATTGGCTGACCCATTGTTAAATATGTTCTGAAATCACCAGATTTATTAAATAGTGTCTGGGTCTCCGCAGCTCACTTGTGCGCAAATACCTTTATTGCTTGTGCATCAGCCAATGAATGAGCTATCTTGACACTGATACCATACCCGCCATCACTGAAGAGTGAATATTCCGATGCCGGACTACTCTCCGCTCGACGCCTGGGTCTTCGCTCGTGCCGTATACAACCGTGGGCCTGTTGAAGCGCTCAGTATGATGCTGAGAATCCCCCCACTACACCGGAGACTACTGCAGCTGGCCAGCCCAACGTGGGAAATCGTTTACAGTAGTCACAAAGGTAGACTCGAGGTAGTTGAGGAAAACTTTCTCCTAGATGGCATTAGGTATATCGTTGAACAACCATATTGCTCCGGCGGGAGAAAATCTGGTGGCTGTGGCATCCAGAATCGATAAAGGGGTTGAAACAGCTTTGGGAGAAGAAAAAGATGGGAATAAACGCGCCTTGATCTCTTCCATGTTAGAAAGACAAGGTTATTCCTTTTGTGACCCTTTTTAGAAAATATGGGCAATGCCAGCTTTGAGGAAAAGAGTATTTGATTGTAGCGTCCTTTATATATCACAACATAAATGTCATAAATGTAGTTGCTCTGCTTCGTTGATTTAATCTTAGCAACATTTTTAAAATGTCAGCAGGCTCAAGAAATTAAAACCTCAGTCCTTTTGTGACCATGTTTATTTTTGGTTTCAAGTCTTACGTAGGTATCAAGATAGACAACACCAGGTTCTGAAACTGTTAAAAGACTTCTCAAAGACTCAGTATGGGTCAGTATGAATCCACTTGATTAAATTTCCTCTCCACTGTTAGAGTGTTGGAATGAATTAAATAATAAATGCCGCAAATATTTAGTGATGTTTTAGAGCAAAAATTTGAGATGATAATAAGAACATCAGGCAGACTCCGTTCAAGTACAGAGGTACAGAGGAGACGGAGACCCCCTGCAACACACATAAATGAGGCTCATTAGACCTAGAATGGTATCAAAAGCTCCTCATTTTGAAAAGAAGCGTGAATTGATATATCCCTTCCATGGACTGATATGGATATATCGAAATGTATTCTGCAAATGGAGACAGCATCTCTTGATGCCACGGCCCAAGCCAAGCCATCTCTCATCCCAGGTAAATGCAGTTCGACGAAGATTAAAATCTCGGAACATAATGTCTAGAAATCCCTTCCCAAAAAATAACTGATAGGAAAACGAGGGAATGAATTAAGCGGGGAACGAAAGAGATAAAGCAACACCAAGCATTATCCGTAATGTAGGAGAACACAAAGGAGTCATTGACATTTAACTCACCAGCAAAAATGATAGAGGAGCACGGATCTCTAAATAAAAATCTACCAATTATCATCCCAACTCCTCCTACCCGCATCATCTTTCCCCTTTGCACCGTTCCCACCAGCAGCACCGGCACCACCAGTAGCGCCACCAGAAGGGGGCCCACCACCCTTCATAGCTGCCGTCCCAACAGCATCCGGCCGCTTCTTCTCCTCTCCTAGAGCGGCAAAATCATCCCAAAAGTCCTTCCTCTCTGGCACGAATGTTCTTCTTTGGGGTCCATGCCAACCCGTCGGCGATGTTGATGTGTCTGCAGGACCATCGACGAATCGGCTTAAGGCGTCTGCGGCTCCACGCGTGCCGGTTTGGACATTTCGGGATACCTGAGTGGCGGCGAGGCGGGCCTGGGCGGCCAGGTCGGTTTCCGCGAGCTGATTTGTTGTCTTGTTAACGGTGTTTTTTGAGGTAGATACATTTCCCTTGGGGAAATAGTTGTGAATATATAATACACCAGAGAATCAAACCAAAATACAATGCTTACCGTCTTAGCGGCGGGTTGCAAATACGACTCATTCACCGTCTTCGCGCCTTTGGTCACAGTAGTTGTAAACCAACCGAACCCCTTCGTCAGCGCTGCAACGGGGTCATTCTGGAAGTCTTGCAGGCCCGGTATTGCAGCGCCACTGTCATCCTGCTGCTCGCTTCGCGTAGACGTTGGCATCCCTCCTCCGAATCCCGTGTACTTCCCGCCCTGCGACGGCGCCACGTTTTCCGGTCTACTCGAATTCTCCGCCCCCAAAGACGCAAAGTACGCTTCGTTCCGCTCTTTTCTTCCTCCCGCTCCCGCACTTCCAACTAGCCCCTCCGGCTTTGCAGGCGACATGGACCTGGATGGCGTCAACCCTCTCTGGTCACTGCCCGCAGCAGAAATAGAAGACGGCGTCCCAGCCCTCGACAAAGCTTTCTTCTCTTCACCGGGGATATACTCCCTCCCCTCAACCTTAGCCGTCAACCTTGCCTTCCACTCCTCGCCCACATCGCCCTCATACCTCTCCTTGATGGTCGAGTCATCAAACACACGGCTCTCTGCAACGTTGGCGCTGTGCTCATCGAAGAAGAGTTTCCAGGGATCGTTGCCGCCATGTTCCATGCGCTGGATTTCGGCAGGCTTGAAGGCGTCCATGGTTATGCTGCGGACGAAGGAGATGTGCACGCCTAGGCCGCGGTGGGTGCCAGCGCAATTTAGGCAGATGAAAATGCCGAATTTGGGGGAGGCCTGGGTGGGATATGTTAGAATATGGGTAAGTGATTAAAGAGGACTTAGACGACGATTGGGGGTTGTGGGATTTCGAGAAGGATTGGGTGAAGAAACAATCCATAGCATACCCACTGAGGTGACGGAGCGCCGCAGTCACAACATCGATCATTGCCCTTGGTCTTCTGGATGAGTAGCAGCTGTACTTAACAACAGGGGCACATTTCGTCCTGCATTGTCAGCGAGATGCTACATGAATTGCAGTCAACCCTTTTCTCTTTTCTCCTATCCCCAACATAAACACACATCCAAACAGGAGCTACAAAACTTAGCCAAAAAAAAAAAAAAAAAACATACCTTGCTCCTCGTCTCCAGATCCACCTTCCATTTGTTCGACGACATCTTCCCCTCACTCACACACTCTCTCGCTCTCTCACCGAACAAAGTTGATCCGCAATCAGCTCGCGATGGACAATCTCCAGGCCCCGAATACAAACGTATTACTTCAGAAGCCACCCAGAAACTTCCTCCCCATCCAAATCCCGTTCACTCTTTGCCCCCTCGTTTACCAATCTATCCCCTGATATCCGAAGTCGAGAAATCAACCTCCCCCCGGGCGCTCCTCAAGTCAAGAACCGAACCGAGTCCTTCGCGAAGAGAGTCCCGTCGATCGAAAATAAAATAAAATAACAAAATAATAAAAAAGCCCTCGGGGAATAAAAAAAAAAATTACCCGTTCGCTGCAGGAAGAGATGGATAAAGACTGAAACAGGCCCTATCCCGGCCGATTCAGCCGTCCGTCCGCCTGTCGTTGGCTTGTCCGTCAGGGAATCGCGGGAATCAATTCTAAATGCCTAGCTAGCCAAGCGTCTCAGAGGCTCTCGTTCGCCTTTCCCAGCAGACGAACTGGGGCGACTGTATTGACCCTGCGTGTGCGTATGCGTGTGCGTGCGCTTGTGCATGTGCGTGTGCATGTGCGTGTGCGTATCCGTATGCGTTTATATTAATCAGTCGCCCTGTGTACTCTTCGTATCCTGTCAACAATTCCAAGCACCCTCTTTATTCCTTATATATATTGCCCTCCTCCTCAACGTACGTGCGGAATGGGGGTATTGACTCGGGCTAACGGTTACAGTGTGCTAACGAAAATCGAATCGCAGTGACGACGACTCAGCATGGAATTTTGTCTACGCAAGAGCGCGGGTCCCAGGGATATAGGTTATCAAAGAGTAAGTAGTATATATATAGGTTCGTCTGTGGATCTGGAGTGGAATTTCTCTTCTCTATTTTGCGGGGGGTGGGGGGAGGGTGGAAGTGGGTTTGGTTGTGATAGACGGTGTAGTTCCAGGAACATCCCTTCCCTGCCAAGACCAGGCTTGGACCCAAGATTTTCGCCGTTGGAAAAATCGCGTATGACTTGTTATGTAGTTATGCGGGATACAGGTTGATCCAACACAGGACCAATTTTGGAAGAGACGACAGGACATGACATGAAGCGTATGAAATTATGTTTGGCTGGAGCTTCAAATAAGCGTATCCACAGCACTGTCACTCTATCTAGGCCGTTGGCTGTGGTGGATTCCCTGACTCTAAGCTTACATTAACGCTTTGACTGGTTATTGTTACACACTATTGAGAGACACCTACCAACACTGACCTTTTAAGCCATCTACCATCTACCCACCAGCTGAAAAAGAAAAAAAAAGAAAAGAAAGGGAAAAAACTAATAATAAAATACAAATTCATAGTTTGATTGGAAAATGTTTAAGATACATCATAGCAAGCAAGCCGGCCAAGTATTCCATTCATGGTAACCCAATAACTAGGGGGGGAAGACTTGACTTGCATTAAGTGAGCTGCTGAGTGCAGGGGCTTCCTCTTTTTCATTTTTGTCTTCTCGTTTCATTTTTTTAATTTAATTTTAATTTTTTTTTCTTTCTTTCTTTGTTTGTTTGGTGGTGCATGGAACGGATACATATTTCTGCTGGCTGATTGTTTTGTTGTCCTTTTTCATACACACATCCTCCCCTTCCCCTCTACCCTCCCCAAATGTAGAACCAACCGGGAATGAAGCTGGGGAACCTGGAATCGAGGGTCGGCAACTAGGAAATGGATAAGAAACGGCAGAAACGTTTGTTGGAATTTTTTTTTTTTTTTTTTTTGGCTCTCCTTCTTCCCGAATAACAAATATTAAAAAAACATTTAAGCAATTTCAAACCCGCACCCGTAACAGAATTTACTCATCATAGCCATATTTTCTTTGGGTTAATTGCCATATGCGTGCATTCACTTCTTTTCACTGAACCTTCAATTCCCCTTCCTTTTCACCTCGTTTAGTTTGGAGAAGATATATGTGTGCTTGACGAATTTTATGCGGCGACGGGAGCATTGGCACCGGATTCGGGAGTCGAACGCTCTTCAATAGAGGCATCGTCCTCCTTGCCAGGGCTGTCGATGGCAACCTTGACTGCGATCTCGCGGCCTTCAATTTCTTTGCCATGCATTTCCGCGACTGCCTTGGCCTGGAGAGCCTCGGAGCCAAGAGTAACAAAACCGAAACCGCGACCCTTGCGGGGCTCACCACGAGCAAGGAGCTTCTTGACCATGAAACGTGGGATGGGGCGAAGAGCAATCTTGGAGGAGACGGGTTCGTAGGCGGCAAAGAGTTCCTTCAACTGTAGAGTGATGATGATTGTTAATATTCCTTTAATTTTTGGGTTTTGAGAGTGTCCATCATACCTTCTCCTCGCTAAGGTCGTAGGGAAGATTGGCAACCATGACCTTAGTCTTGGAAGGGATACCATCTTCGGGAGGACCACGCTGCTTGTGGACACGAGGACGCCCCTTGGAGTCTTTAGAAGCATCGCCAGTCTCATTCGTCACATCAGCCAAGGGGGCACCCTCGGTGGCTGCCTCAGCATGTTCTCCATTCTCCTTGTGCTATTTGCGCCATGGGCGACATATATTAGTTGAAGTAATGACACGAATTATGAGGGGAAAAAAAGATGATGAAAACATTGTGGGAAAGGGGGACTGCCATTCTCAGCAGGAAAAAAAAAAGGGGGGGGGAAGTAAAGGAGTCGAAACGTACAACACGACCACCACGGCCGGATCTACCACCACGGCCACGTCCACGTCCACGACCACGACCAGAGCCTCTCCTGCGGCCCTCACCCCCACTGGCACCTTCACCACCGCTGACAGCATCGCCCTTGTGTTCAGCAGGTTCTGGCTTGCGGGCAAGTTGGACCGAGACCTTGCGCTCAAGGATTTCCTTGCCAGAAAGCTCAGAGATGGCAGCCTGTGCTTCATGCGCGGTGGCGAGATCAACAAAGGCGTATCCGACTGGGCGATTAGTACGGGGGTTCACGGGGATGGAGGTGTTTTCACTGTCATGATCATGATGCAAAAAGTTAGTGATAAAAATAAGCACATTGATGACAGATGTCATTTAATTAGTGTGCATGAAAAAAAACAACTGCAAAATAAACTGCATTCATGACAATAGAGGATGTCTTATATATATGTGTGTTTTTAAAAGAGTGGAGTAGAAGGGATGACTCTTTGTTGTGCTTGCAGTTTGAACCTGTTATTGTTTTCAAAACCAGAATCACAGCTGTAGTGATGATTTTGGTAGATACCATCCCATGCGATAGGAAACAAAACAGAGGATAAGAAGCTAAGATACTGATTAAAAATTATGGGAAACGCTTGGAAATACGTACATGGTATAAGCCTTGAAGAAGTCCTTGAGTTCCCCCTCCGTGGTCGCATATGCAAGGTTCCCAATATACAAGCGACGTCCCTCGTCGGCACTGGTTGCAGTGGCATCGGTGCGAGCAGCAGCCGGAGCATCGCCGTTGGTAGCGTCGTTGATGGAGACAGAGGCCAAGTTCTCGGCCACTTCGTTGGCAGTCGACATGATTGATGGAGTTTGGCTGAGTGTTTTTGAAAACGGCACACGGGGGTAGTTTATTGGTGAAAAGGGGGCTTGCTGTTACCGCCGGAACTTGAAGATTGAACTCAGGGGGCTTGGGCTGCCTTGGGGAACTTGAAGGGGGGATGAAAGGGTAGCTTAGTGCCCTAGATACTGGAGAAGATGATGAAGATGGGGGTGTTGGCTTGATCGTATGTTGATGGTTGTCGGCGTGGTGGAGAAGGAGAAAGAAGAAGAAGAAGAAGAAGAAGAAGAAGAAAGAAAAAGAGAGAGGGAGGAGGAGAAGAGGAAGAGGAAGAAGCAAAACAGTGGCAGTAGTGGCAATAGTGGCAGCAGGGGTCCCCCCGCGGGGGGGGGCAGTGATTAGCGGTAGTGGTAATTAAGTAGTGGTGACTAACTCGTTGAAGCTGCCTTGACTGGTCCAAACAATATTAATAACCGTCCGTTTAAAGCGTTTCCCCTGCGGCTCTCGGGCCTTCCTTTCCCATAGGGGAAGCCCAATGAGGGAAGGCGTCCCTCCGCCTCCTCGCTCCTGCCTCTCTCTGCACACATCTGCCAGCGTTGGAGCCCAGAGTCACATGTTACAGTGGAGTTTGCGGGCGATTGATCCCAGGCTCGTATATATATTTATATATGTTGTACGGAGGAGAAGAGTCCGTATGTATGTACGCATACATATATTGATACGTTGGCCAACTTGACTACATGCCCTTGCGGACGGATGAATGGATGGATGGATGGATGGATGGATGGATGGCTGGGTGGGTGGATGGATGGATGGCCGATGGCGATCGCATACGCCCACTGCACTCTCTGCGCGCTCCCCTTAGCAGTCATTGGCATCTCTGTTGTGCTTCTCTCCCAGGCCAACCGTGAACAGGTTTTTAGTCTGGAGTTTTCAGCCTTTCACGTAGACATAGGGTTGTTAACTGCCCCCTTTCCATTCACTCGATATGAGATGTGATCGGTCGGTGGCTGTGTTCTTCTCTCCTGTCGCCGCGACCACACAGACGGAAAGACTCACTCCTGAGAGATCTTTTCGGCCCGCCTGAAAAGTGGTCTGTTTTCTCTGAAAGTTTCGCTGTCAGCTTCTGTTGATATTGCGTGGTATGGCCTTGCTGCGTATTTTCCCTCTTTTGATCTCCATCTCCAGGGGGAAAACCCTCGCCAAAATCTACCCGGGATAGCACTCCTCTAGGTGGTAGGTAGGTATGCTTATTGCCTAAGTGTATGCAGGTATCCTGTCTACGACACATTAACTTCTCAAATCAACATGACCCTGATCCATTCCGTTCACTCTTACTGAATGGAAAATTTAAATGACACAAATCAAGCCGAATGGGCTTGGGTTTTATGAATAGGTTATTATTCACTTCTACAACGCTCATCATCGTTATGAAGAGTGATAGCTACAAGCACAAGCACAATCGACATTCCAGAGTGAATCTCTATCTCTATACCTGAATATTCACACAGCCCCCCCCCCACCATCCTTTGTCGAAATGCATTTTTTATCAAGTCAATTCCTCTCTTCTCGCCTCTTATTCCTTCTCTCTCTTTCTGCAATCATCAAGAACTTATTCCCGCTTCGTTTCATTTCAAGTTTATACCACCTCGTACTCGGCCCCGACTTTCAATCTGTATCTAAAACATTGAAGCCGTCGAAGAAAAATCCTCCATCATGACCGAAAACAATCCTGTCGTCATCCTGGACGATGATGAAGAAGTAGTTCAGACTGCTGGCGTCGCTGTGCGAGCCAATATCAGATCCAACTCGGGGCCAGTTTGTCCCAGCGAGGGCCCGCTTCGTGCAAGCCCACCCGCTGGTAAGAAAATCTATCTCCCGATTTCTCAATTGTCTGGTCTTATCTTACCATATGCTATCTGCAGTTCGCTTTAATAGAGACTCTCTTCTCGCGGCCCCTCTCGCCGGTAAGGAAATCTATCTTCCGCTTCCTTAATTGTAAGGCCCGCTCTTACCGTGTACTAGCACCGTTGCTCTCTAGTGGAGATGCTGTTCCTCCTCATCCATCCAGTAAGAAAATCAATCTCTCATTTCCTCGATTACCAGGCTTTGTCTTACTGTGTAATAGGAAATTCCCCTGGTAGGAATCACAACAATCTCCAGCAAGCAGAAATTGATGGGCAGAGTCAAGGGTCGACGGTCCTGTTCACCCTCAACACATCAGATTGGATAAGGAATATCACCAAAGACTCAAATTGCCTCCTCCTGAATTCTTCAAACCCGTTTCCTGCAGAGTCTCTTCCACCTTTCATTGCCCTGCAGCAGAAGCAGACAGGCCCGTCTGCTATCGCAGAAGAAAAGGGACTTGCGTCTTCCCAACCAGAATCAAGCAAACCGTATACCATTTCGCCCTTTGCAAGGGAATTTTTCACAGACATGGCTCGTACCATCGGCTGCGTTTTCCCCTACGGCGAATTCGCGGAAAAGTACAATTGTACTGTCGACCAGGTAAACATAGCATTGAGTGCAGTTGTCCTGGAACCGTTGATGAAGAGCGATGGAGTCACCAATGACGACCTAGGTGTCATGGAGATTGAGCTTGAGCAGGGTCCCGGTATGGACAAAATAAGTGACAGCTACCTTGGAAAAAAGTGGCTCAAGCAGTATAACACGGCTGTGCCAGAATCTCAACGAGAGACGCCGGCGGAAGCTTTCCCTCAGGATTTTGAAGAGACTCTTTTCGCAGCGTTTGGAGAGCTGGATGCTTATTGGAAAGCCAAGAATATAGGGCTCAAGATCTACAAGGCCTTTGAGGATGCAATGATAGTTGCGAGGAAAGAAGCAGAGAATCAAGCTCTCGCTGAACAACAACTGGGAAGTGTGGTGAACTGGGCGAAACTGCAGGCGCTGCAGCAGCAGCCGTCAACTATGACCAAGACGACAATTCCATCAGCTCTGCCAATGCAGGAACAGAAGTGTGGGAAAGGCCACTGTGCCACTCCGAGTCGCAAGCGTGCAAGAAGTTCATCAGACGAAACTGGTGAAGAAGAGGATACCAGTGGAGCGAGCAGTAACAATCCTACACCTTCGACATCGCCACCGACCTTCCTGCAACTTTCCCCTCCGGCCAAGAAGAAGGCAAAACTAACAGCCACCCAACCCACACCCACGTACCACATAGCACAATATATCGACCTTACATCTGATCACCATACAGCGCCATGCAATGAGATCCATAATCTTGATGGTCTCAGCGGCATTGGCAACGGCAATATCAACATCCCGGGAAGTCTGACAATCCCCTATTTATCCGTATCCGCGTATCCGATTACGCAGCAACCAACGTCTCTCCCCGGGTACCTATATGTCCCTGCTGCAACCACAAATCTCGAGCCCAAACCCAACCCCAACTCCTCCAACCTACCATTCTACTTCATCCGACCCGGCTCCCGACTTGACGTCACCGTCGACGATTACGGCAAATGCCAGCCCGAAGTATACACAGGAGCAGAAATCCCCAAACACGAATACGGAGGGGTTCTCGAGGGTATCCCTGTAGACAACAACGAATGTGGATGGAAAAGCCCTCCAGAGATATACCGCGAGCGCTTCCTTAGATTATCAAACAACCACAGCGCCCCTGCCGATGCGGAGGATCCGACAAGCAGTGTATCTTCGAACGAACTGCGGGATAAGGCTGCCAGTGAAGTGAAGACACCAAAAATACAAAAGAACTGGAGGGATTATATGCCTTCGAGTGGGATATTTGAATGTTATGCGAGGGCGCTGGAGGAGGAGAGGGTGCATAAGTGGTCTGACGAGCAATACGAAAAGAGAATTGAAGACCGCTATCTCGCTGTGTCAGGCAAGGTTGGGAAGTATATAGAGATGCTGGAGGCTCAAAGGATGGAGGATGTGCTTAGACTTGCTATGGAGGCAGCGGTCAATCAAGAAGGGAAGGAGAGTGAGAATGCTGGGACTACTCTAGCACCAATGGAGCCTGATGTGCAGATGTCTGAAGCCGCTCGGGATGGTAATGACAGGGAAAGTGACGGTGAAGAAGACGATGGAGATGGTGAAGAGGGTGAAGAAGAAGAAGAAGATGATGATGATGATGAAGATGAAGAAGAAGAAGAAGAAGATGATGACGATGATGATGATGACGAGGGTGACGACGAAGAGGACAGAGAGCAAGAGGATGAGTTAACCAAAATGATCCGAGAGCACTTGCGTGATACCGACGAGTGGTATAGACAGCTGGCGGAGAATGTGGACGATGATGGAGGTTATCGAGTAGGTCAAACTACATATCCCGCAGAGGAAGTTAAGCAGAAAGGGCAGAAAGGCGAGCTGAAAGAGGAAGGGCTGGAAATTGAACAGGAAGATACCCAGGAATGTGAACAGGACGATGACGAGGATGAAGAACAAGACGATGACCGGGAGGAGGATTTTGTTCCTTGAATGGAGCTTGATTTGAGGAGTAAATAGTTTGGTGAGTGGATGAGAGTTTTTTGCATATATCATTGTACTTTGAGAGCATTTGCTGGAACAAATGGAGGCAGTGGATGCCATTGTATGGTGATGTGTTTGTAACGTATGTAGTTAGTTGATAAAATTAAAAGAGCGAAATAAGGGGGGGCATTTGATTGCCTTTCTTAAAATTCTTAGCTTCCCTGTAAAATTCTCTTGTCATTAATATATTCATCAGCAGAAATCACCTAAATAGCATAAGGATATAATAAAGACAAGCTGGCTCGCTCCAACGAAGGATAGAAAAAGAAGTATATATACATAACGCAAAATACTTTCTCCCTTTCCAAAGGTTTGTTCCCCTATCCCTTCCCCACACGTCCAAATTAAATATCGAAAGGCAAAAACACAGAACGGGAAAAGGAAAATCGCGCTTCAAATGATATATCCACATGAACACGTACAAGCGAAATTGAAAAGCAGACTCAAACGGGTGCTCATATAATATACGGAAACGGAAACGAGGCATGGGGGAGGAATCAAGAACCAGGGAAAAATAAAAAAAAAAATCCATTGCAACAGAACAGAAAAAGGGACGATGTAAAACCATTCCATCTTATCATGTTAGTCATCCAATCAATCTAGCTAACTACCGCCCCGGATATCCATCATGATAACTCCCAGACGCCTGAGACCGATGCCCAGCTCCATACGCACCTCTATAACTCGTATCATAATCATGCAAATAGCTACTATCACCAGTCACAGGCAGCGGCGGCGGACTGGTCGGATTACTACCATGATTATTATTACTATTACTATTACTATTACTATTCGATGTCGGATCATACAACGGCGGGGGTGCAGTAGTTCCATGCAGGGCCGCCAAATCATCCGCGTCGTTGTTATGCAGCAGCGCATATGCGTCGTTGGGATCACGGCGGAAGGTGCCGGCGGTAGGGGATCTGCCGGAGCGGAATTCAGCGTCCCGGTCATCTTCGTCGTCGAAGTCTTGGGCTGGGTTGGACGAGAAGGCGGCTTTGGAATGTGCGGCGAAGGTGGGGTCGGAGCCTTCGTAGGGCATCGTGCCGCTTCGACGGTATTCTATGAGATTGCGGATGGAGAGGTAGGATGTGGCGACGAAGAGGAGGCTGTGCGGGGAAGAAGTGTTAGTGTTTTTATGGAATTGATAGAAGTATCAGAGTGAGAGAGAACTTACCACACCCCAACACCCAGGACCGCGGTTCCGGTGCTTAATCTGCACTTTGCGGGGGAACCGAATGCGAATGCATCGCAGCCATTTTTATCTTTATTCTTCTTATCATTTTCACCTTCTTTCTTGCCAGCGCCTACGTAGGATGCAACGGCCACCCAGGAGGCGAACCAGAGAACAGCGAATAACACGTCGATTGCAGCGAAGGCATACGCATTGCCGAATCTCCGTGTCCGTGGCCACATGGGCACTGCGGCGAGGTAGATGAGGGCGGGCGCCGTGAACCAACACTATATACAACACCAAGCAAGTAAGTTAGCAATCTGCTTCTCTCCCATGATGTTAAATGAATAACAATTCTGCTTTGACTGCCTCCAAAATCCGTGCTTTTCACACAGCCATATATATAAAGAGCAACAACAAAGGAAAGTGACATACCAGCGCAAAATAGTATGCTGTCCGACCGTCTGTATACCCATCCCGTGTGAAAACGGCGACTGTGAGGGCCCAGCCCAAAAAAACAACGAAGCCCTGCAGGCCATGAAGGAGCATCTTCACCCTTGGGAAATGAAACGAGGAAAACATGGTTGCCTGTAGGTTGACGCTGTGTATATTTTTATATGTTTACACCAGGCTTGCCCAGCACCCTTCTCTGAATAACACAGATATTCTCCAACCCGTTTTGATCGCACCGGATTCACTCGCTTCGGGATTTATTTCCGGCAATCAATGATAGCTGTATGGAGAGTATTTTTATCTAGGTAGCAGTAGTAGTAGTGATGTATTCTCTCGTAAGCTGTCGGGCTGGATGATGAGAAATAAATGAGCTTTTGTTGGGAGGCCGGGAGAGCAGGAGAGACAAGAGAAATAAATGAAAGAAAATGCAAGAGCAGCAAACAAACAGCAATGGCAGAAATGAGGGATAATAGACAGCAAAGTGCCTGACTCTTTGTCTGTGCTGTGGCTGCTGTCTTTGGTGGAGGCTGAGTTGGAGGCAGGCTGCGAGTTGCGATGTTTGTTTACCTGCAATCTTTTAGTCGAGAGTATTTAGTTAGTTAGGGCTGGCGGGCTGGCTGGCGCCTGGTCACTGGTCTATTTAGTCTCAAGAGAGCTGAGCAAGGCCCGGCTGCAGTTTGTTTCGCGTCTTCATCCAGGCGGGTCCCAATACCCACCTCTCTGAACAACGCATGAAATAAACTAAAATCCCCCAACCAATCATTCTCTAACATTTTCAGAAACCCCTTTGCTCGAATTTCGTCTCAACGACCATCGGGGTGATCGTAGATCATAGGTCCATATGGAGGGAGTAAATAAGCTCCCTCTAACTGGATATCTATGCATTGTCAAAGATAGAAGGCTGATGTTGATTGATGCTCGTTGAATTCCAACTCATATGCTGAACGGTGTCCAAAGGAGGTTCAGACAGGAAGGCAAATTTCAAGTTTCGCGGGTAACTATGGTGAACCCTCAATAAAGTTTCTTACAACGGGTTGGGGTATGGGTCAGGGGCATGACAGAAAGTTACATTCGTGATTTAGGATGTCACTCTATATAGTTACGCTAATCAAGGAATCTTCTTCTTCTCTCATAGTATTTAAATATATCATGCCTAACTAACTAGTTATTTGCTGCGCCTTTAGTTTAGTCACAACTATTAATAAGCCTTGAGCACGGCGCGCTGCTGCTGCCGCGCCTAACTATCCCTTGAAGCACTGCGAATGCGAGCTGTCAACTGTACCCAAAACAAAGAAAAATTATCAGACCAGGAGATAAAAATTTTAACTTATTGGAGCTCGTTCAATTCCTGGATCTTGTTTGATGTCTAGGCCTCGCTCGATTCTGAAAACTCGTTCTGTTCTTAGAGCTCATTCGAAATTACCCCCCTTCTTAATCTTACCACAGCACATTGTGCTGTTTGAGAGGTTCATGCTTGGGCTGAATGGAAAAAGGCCAATATCCTTGGTGAACTTGTTGAACTGCTGATGTTTACTATTGGGTGAATTACAAACAACAATATGGTTAACTAGATGATCTGGTGGAGTAAGTACTTACCTTCTTTTTACCAACTCCTCTAGCCAGGCATGCAATCCTCAAGTGTTTCCTCTGATCCGCATCTAGTTCAAATCGAATTCCATGCATTTGGCCCCAGGAAAATCTTCATGGAAATCTGGTCGCAAAGATCGTGCAGAACAGATATGTGATCATCATGCAGTTATCCAGTTAGGACTCAGGTAGGTCATTGATGCAGATAAGATACCTGTGAAGGGACCACCGGGCATTGCCTTCATATGCGTGGAGCAGAGAGAAGGTTCCCACACGAGTGAGTCGTCAGCGCGGCTGGTTTTGATGAACAGCAGCTCTAGAAGAGGTGCCTGCTTCTCCATGGTAGTCTGTTCTGGCCGAATTCCATTTGGTTTCACATGGTGTTGAAGCTCCCGGTTTTGTGCCGACTAATGGCTGAACAATCTCCCAACAGCACAGGGGGTGGGCCTGCATGACCTCCAGCTCAAAGTCTAAAAAGGTATTCCGCGTGCGCCCCAGGCAGGAAGAGTGGGAGGCATTCAGAGCTTCAGAGAATGGGAGGTGAAAAGAACCAGTACAAAATGCTGCAGTTGATGTCATTTTGTTTCTTTCAGAATAATTCTCAACATAGCGCTGCAGTTCTTGCACAGATTCTTCAGTTGATGACTTCATGGATTGGTCGGAGTGGCATAGGAAGGGTAGGAAGGCTATACGGGATTGAAATTGTAATATGTATGGGAGACCATTGAAGGATTGAAGAGAAGTATTAGCATAGGGGATGGAGAAAGGGAAGAAAGAGAAGAGAAAGGAGGAGAAGATGCAAGCTAGCAATTGTGTTATGAAGCAGGAAAAAATGAAGCTACTGTCTGATATAGTTTGTGATCCCAGTTATCTTTCCCTCCCTATTGTTCTTCAATGTCAACAATTCATCCTAGCACTGGTGCTGCGCAGGTATATATATACAAATTAAACCGACCAACACGCCCCTTGAAGCTAAAGTTCTCCAGGTGTTCCAGATGTAGATCGCAAGAGATTCTCCATTGCTAGCCCCCAAACTACCCCTGCTATTAGCTGTTCTTGTTGCCTTGTGTGTAGGTAGCCCGGATGGTCCAAAGATTTCAACAGCAGCTATCGGTTTCTCTTGCGGATTGAAGTGAGGATCTTGAATGAGAATTGTCTAAAAATGCTAAGTATTTGGCTTTCCGCCGCTTGGACGAGTAGTAACCCACACACTCCAAATAGAGGTTTTCCTCACCCTTGCCGCCCTGAAATATGAAGATGATATTCTCCTGCCTGTCATTCAATACTGTCTGATTGTTTACTCTGCTATTAATACTAGTTATAGATAATACAATATTTAAAAAAAAAAAAAAAAAAAAAAAAAGATGACACCCGGGTCTAGTGGCCACCCCTGGCTCCCTGATCAAAAAATGAAATAATTTTATGAATTCTAACAGGTTTATTATTCTATTATAATTACATGTTTGTCTGCTTCTAATGCAGCTCCTGTAGTCTTTTATCACTTGAATAAATAAATTTTTAGATTAAATTCTAATCTTCAAAACAGTAGTTTTATTTAGAGCCTGCTTAATCTTTTTAATATTAATAAATTTGCTATTGAAATCAGGTAAATTTTTTATTGATTTTCTAAACTTGTAAAATAGCTTTAAGTTATTTAGAATTAAATTTTTTTTTATTAATATTTAATATATTTATTTATTAAATAAATTATAAAACTTCTAAATTTATTTTAATTAAAATTTGTAAATTTTTTAATATTATTAATTAATAAATAAAATAAAATTATATTTTTATTTTTTTATTATATTCTCTAAAACAAGTAAGTTAATTTGAAAATATTTAAATTGAATAACGATAAAAATCTTCTTATAAAATAAGTAAAGCAGCAGATATTGACACACATACTGAGCTGAAAAGATATGTTTGATAAAAAGTAAATAAATTTGATGAGAAGTAAACATTAGAACGGCCATTCTGATAATGTTTTGATGTTGAAAATTCTGGTTTCTTCTAATAAGGCATTTCTCTTGTGCTTGGCGCCCGGAATCGCTGCGTCAAATGAAAACCAAAACGCGGCAGGGTAGATCATCCGTATCACGAGCTTGTGTCCGACCGCTTTGAGATGCCGTAGAGCAGGCACCAGTATTTTGCAACATAGACATGGATTTACGCGCAAATTGATGCTTTCATTTCCCTTATTCTTGCCATGTATTAACTATTATATATACTCCAACTGAAATCATTGTCATTCAACCTGTGTGTCTCCTTTCAGCCCTTTTGAGCGGAAAATCAAGCAGGATCAAATTAATAATAGCTAAAAAACCTTGGAATCGCCCTCTCTGACGAAGCAAACAGCTGCTGGGCACAATCGAGCCGTGATTGCAGCTGAAATAAACACTGGAGCAGTCAGTGGTGTTTGTGGGGACAAAATGTTCTGCTTGATTCTGGCAGCTGTCAAATTCGAAACACAATGCGAGGTGGCTTGCTTAGTGACCTTCAACCTACTTCTGATTGATCTCTGAAACACAGGCTCTTCAGACAAATGATGACTAGCGGAGAGTCGGAAGAAGGAGGAATAAAAAAGGAGGGAAGGGATAATTTGAACTCGGCAGTGCTAAATATGTTCGCATCCACTGAGACTCAATTCGACGACAGGTGCTTGCCAAGAGTCCTCACAGCGATTCAGCTGCCAAATAGCAACCTCCTTCAACCAGCCGATATTCAGGACAAGTTTCCCGTCCCTGGGTCTGTCGATCTGAACCTGGATAGAGATCGTAACTGCTTCCCTCAGGGCTCTGTTCTCGGGATGTCGCATGCCGGAAACCAGTCAACCGAATCCCCCGGGACCCCGGTGGGGGGGGGAACACCCTGCCCAGTTCTGTTGCATCCCAAGACCTTCTAACAGGTTAACCAGCCCGATCTGCTTAAATGCCAGGTTGTATACGAACTCTTGAGAAGAAAATAATATTGAATCCACTTAAAATTGCGACGGCGTGGATTGTCTCCTCGTGTGAACTTTTGCATTTATCCCTCATGAGTCAATTCCCAAGTTCTTCTCTCTCCTCTCTTTGATGTGGGATGAGAACTGCTGTCGAAAACAGTAAGTTCTATTCAGCAATGCTTCCTTCGTCTTGATGAAGAATGCGGATGCCAATGAGATCGTGTTTTCTGCCGTTGTTCCTCGCTGCAGCGTGCTATGGTCAGGAGCTTTCACAGAGGTCGCCAGCCGACCTCTGTGGTTTCACGGAAGGGAGATGTAAGCTGGGTTCCATATTTCCTGGACTTGGTGAAATGTTGCTAATTTTCTGCAAAAGCCGTCCTGCTTGGTAATCTCGCATTAATGATGGCAGGGAAAGTTTACAATTCAAGACGGACACAACGAAGCATTAGGTATTTTAGCCGCCTTCAAAAATCCTTGAAAGTACCCGTTGCTGATCGATATGGCTGAAGTGAATGAACTGTATTGGCTTGACCTAAACACCACCTTCAACGTCGAAGGTGGTATAACCCCGAATACGCTGCACAGAACTAGTATTCCAAACACAGGTCCTTATGAATCCGGAGGTGGATTCTTCGCTGGCGAGAATACCATCTACATATATTCTGGCCTTGGGAATTCAAAAAGATATGATTGGATGTGGTCGTATAACGCAAAGGATGGAACTTGGAGTCGCGCACAAGTTGATGGGGGAAAATTGAACTTAGATGAACGGTTTGGTGGGCTTTCAGCTGTCGCACCAGAATCCAATCTTTCCTTCTTTACAGGAGGTTGGGATATGCCCATTATCGGAACTTTGGTTTTCAACTCGACGGATGGCGCCAATCTTCAGTGGACAAACGTGACCAAAGTAGAGGGTGATGGCGCTGTCGGAGAACCTCGGATAGCCAATGGTGGAATGGATTATATACGCCTCGGAAAGAATGGAATCTTGGTTGCATTCGGTGGCTATGATGTATGCCCCAGTTCTCCACCACGTGTGTTGCCCCTGCACCAAGCTAACACTCTAGATAGACTTCCAAAAACGGAACTGGTCAGACCGAAACAACCCAAGATCTAAGGCCGATGGACAAGATCGGCGTGTATGATATCGACTCCAGCACATGGTGCGTGGACTGGACCAGAATTTCCCGATGCACAATTAACCTGTAGAAACTGACTAGTTCAATAGGTACGAAGTCGAAGCAACTGGCGATATTCCAACACCAAGAACAGCAGCATTCTGCACAGCTGTCTCTTCTGCATCTGATGACTCTTCCTTTCAGGTGCATATGTACGGCGGTCGCAGTCGTCTGAAAACGAACGCAACTTCGTATGATGACCTGTACATTTTGACACTACCATCCTTCCGCTGGATACAAGTTCCCACCATTGGTGTGAAACCATGGACGGCGGCTGGAGTCGGCCGCGACAGCCACAAATGCATTTCCTGGAAGGACGGGGAGATGGTAGTTCTCGGAGGAACTACTCGACGAAACGACACCGTGCAAAAGGGATGTAGTAGGGATCATCCACCTATTCGAGTCCTCAACACTAGCAAGTTTCGGTGGGAAAAGCAATTTGAGCGGGAAACTAAATATTCGGTTCCTGGCCTAGTGTCTGATGTAGTGGGCGGAGAGTATGTTTCTACCCCGTTGCCCGCATATGTGCGCTGTATTGTGTGCCATACTAACGCGTTTTCCACACCCAGTTCAACTGGAAAGGCTACTCTAAAAGAACCGGAAGGCAGTTGGGGCAATAAAAAATTACACAGCATCTTCTCTCAGACTGTAGCAAGATGCCCTGACGTAAGTGAAGTGCCATTACCCTCACAACCAACGTCCACACAAAACCCATCCGCACAACCAACAGGAACTCCTCCACCAAAGTCTTCTAACACAGGCACAATTACAGGTGGAGTTGTAGGTGGCGTTGCAGGACTCGCCATCATCGGAGCTATTGTTTTCTTCACGAAACGAAGGAAACCGAGTCACCGCAGAATTAGCAACCCATTCAATGCCACTCACGCCGTTCCCACTGCTCCCGCTGTTCACTATCCTGAACCTCAGCGCGAACTGCCTCCAACCGATACAAAGAATATCTCATTCACGCACCTCCAACAAGAACCCGGAGAGCTTCCAGGAAACGCCGTTGCACCTCCCTGCTCTGAACTGGCATCGCCTATAGATCAATATTGTGGCCAGGCGGTATTTGAACTTGAATCAACTGTTCAGCCTCCTTCGCTGCCTCTCAAAGATTAACCAACTCCTTCACATGCATTCCCGCACTTTAAATATCTGGTTATCGCCGCTCTGCACTCAAACCTCTCTTCCTTCGTTGATCCTCTATGCGGCGTTTTCCTCTCCGTATTTTATTTTATCAATCCCATTGCTGGCTCTGTTCCCATTCGAACTGAGGGTAATCGTCGTCGTTAGAGCATGGAGAACGGAGCAAAGATATCATTATGTGATATTGTAGTTACCCTTACGCGAAGTCTGCTTAGGATGCACTAGGAAAGCATGTTCTCCCACGTATTTCTCCGAACCTCTTTTTTCTATACATATTAGCTTTACATAGTACATATTTTATTCTCTAGTGACTGACTAGGCGTTCATGGCAAAAGAAACCTACAATCGATTGTTGAACTATTGATGCTATTTTTTTTTTTTCTCACTTCGAGTTGGGGCTCTCAGTGCATTATGTATCAGAAATGGTTTTTTTCTATAACATGGGGATTTACACTGAACTCTGACGCAAGAAATTGTCCTTAAGTGTTCCACACTCTTCACCCCAGTTAAAATTAACATTTAGCTGCATATGTACGTTTTGCATGTTGCATCTTCTATTAACACGCACCATCCCATGCCCATTTCAACATCATGTTAGCGTATAGAGAACTCAAGACGTCAAGATAAGATTAGAGGTAAAATTACGGGAGCTAGAGGTAACTGAACGAGAAGAAGAGAAGAAAGTCAAAAAATAAAATGAAATAAAGTAACATAGAATAAAAAAAAAAAAACAAAAATAATAAAAAATAAAGAAGGCCTGATAACCTGAGCAAAGGGTGAATACGTGTAAACAATAACCATAATGATGTATAACTACGAGTAAAGGCAAATGAATACATATTGCGTGTGAAGTTTATGAAAATTCAACTCTGTCCGTAATCGGCATCGGCTGAAGGTTTCTCTGGCTGAAAATTGAAGAATCAATGATCAACTATCTCAAGCCACACTTAGCACTATCCTGAAGATCAGCCAAAGTCAACTTTGAAAATTGTTTTTCCACTCCAGCTAAGCCAGTCCAAGCCTAGCCGAGCTTCAGCGGATTAGATATCAGGAATTATGTTAGTGTCAAATAATGGAACAATGGATTTGTATCGTGTCTGCTTAAATTCTATTCATTGGGTTTGAGTTGTTGTTCAGTTACTCTCCACCGGGAGCATTATTGACCTCCACTGGGGATTAATGGGTAAGCTAGTCAAAAACAAGATCAATTGAACTGTATCCATCACCGACATGGATTTCCACAAGGACCGATATCATAACATGATCTTGAAGAAATCCATGGCATTTTCAGGCTCATTTGGCAAAATACATGTATCTTCCAAGATTATGGTTTCGTGCTCTCATTGCCGCTTTCGGATTCACTCTGCTTATCTTTGCATAATAATTATTGGGGGTTGGAGACGATTTCGTGAGCGTAAATCAGGCTTCGATAAACTATCATCGTGGCGCGGCTGGCGTAACTTGGTATTGGAGCGTGGTGGAAGCTGCATCCACGCCAGATGGCTGCATCTCAGCATCGTGCTAGCCAAGCCCTTCCAAACACATTGCATTAATAGGGAGCGTCGATGAAGCCAATCCATAGCTCCCTTCTGAAGTCCTAACGGCATGGTTTGGGGATGAGTTGTCGTGGCTTGTGGCGCGTGGGTAACGTAAAAATTTCAGTATGCAGCTGGACATACGCAAGACGTATCTCGACTCTAGAAGGGAGTCAATTATATGCATTGGCAAGATGGCTAGATGAGAATAACTTTAGAGAGAAGAAACATTCGTAATCTGTTGGGTGAAAGCTTAAACCTAGGAATTAATGAAGCAAAAAGTCGGTCTGGCCCAGGAGAACGTGTCTCTTGCCCATATGTTGAGGTTGGTGAGAGTTGGTTCTAACTTTTCTTAAATTTCAACATATTTGGTAATAGCCTTGGGAACTTGAGTGCTGGGTTGCGATTGGAACGGCGCGTCAAGCGTGGAATTGGTTGACGACAGAAAAATATAAGTCCCGAGAATTAGAAAATAGATAATAAATAAGGCAGAACCGGCGGCTGCTAGGGTGCATCTGAGCAATAAGCAGATTGAAGACCACTTGTCCCAAAGCGTGATAAGTCTTCGGCACCCTTGAATGTGCCATTGCAGAGTTTCATATCCTCACGAACATTTCGTCAGAAATCCAGAGATATCGAAAATTTAAAACATGTATGGTTTCCCCAGCTTTTCGCCACGTGAAAATGGTTTATGAATGTTTAACAAAAGATAGATATTTCTGGTCTTGGATTTGAGCAACGATCTCAGGAAGGTTACGCGGGGAGATTTCAACATGATGGGTGTTGACAGACCATATTTGCCAAAACCGGAGACTCATGTCAGTACAATTTAACGGTCCGCCGGTGGACAAGTTCTTTTGCTGACTCCTTCTGCGCGCAGTGTGGCGATGGACGGGAGGTCGAATTGCTTCAATATATATACAGTTTACCAAATCTTGAAGAACTCCGTGGATCTCCGTCAAAGATCGTGGAGGCCATTGATCAATATGGAAGGGATAATTATTACCTTATGAATGTCGGCTCAGTTAAAGGTCCCATCATTACCTCCTTGATAGCTGCAGTCAAACCGCAGGTTATGGTTGAGCTAGGTGGCTATGTGGGATATTCTGCCATTTTGTTCGGGGATGCAGTCCGAAAGGCGGGGGGGAAGAGATACTACAGTTTGGAGAAGGACCCTGTATTCGGAGCAGTCTCCACATTGCTGCTGAACCTGGCTGGGCTTGGTGATTTTGTCCAGGTCATTATCGGGCCCAGCGATATATCCCTTTACAATCTGCACAGAAGTGGCACCATAAATCGGATTGATCTGCTGTTTCTGGACCATTATAAGCCGGCGTACGTGGTCGATTTGAAACTCTGTGAGCAACTTGGAATGATTGTTCCGGGTAGTATCCTAGCAGCAGACAACGTCATATCTCCAGGAAACCCACCATACTTGAAGTATGTAAGGAGCAATGTCGAGGAGAAGAGACATGAAGCTGCATCTAATCCAGCTGCATGCCGAGGTTATGATCTTCGAGGGTTTTCCAAATCAATCATCAATCGCTATGGAATTTCTGGGGAGAAAGCGATGACGGCGGTTAGTATATCCGGCAACCCAAATCTGATTTATGAAAGCAGACTGGTAAATAGCTTTGAGCCTACAGGAGAACCTGTAAGTATTCGGTCTCCATGATTAAACATCATCGTTCCCCTCTTAGCCCGGGCCTATCAACACCACGGACAGAAAATTCTGACTTGAACGTAATTCTAGGATGGAGTGGAAATAACTCGTTGCATTGGAACTGCAAGGACATCCATCAGCAAACTGTAGAATGACAGGAAGGACCGGCGACGAAAAGTGGGCAGTTTACGAAAAATATCCAGAGTGCGAAGTTCAGAGGTTTTTTGTTCGTGTTTGAATAGAGTCTGCTGCTGTCTTGGGTTGAGCTGAAGGAGGAAAGATTATGTAATCGTATTCATGAACTAGTTAACTAGTTATAGTTAGTTGCATCCTGAAATCTATACAGCTAGTAAATTAAACCAATCTCATCCATCAAAACCTCTGGAGGTCGGGTTGCCGACTTTCAAACCAATTATCTCACCTGAAAATTGTGTCTCATGGGTGATTATTTCGGTGGCATGAATCTCATAAAACTGGCACTTCAATTGAAGAGAATAGGAGGACACATACTTGTATATCTCTGTTCCAGGCCGGGTGGTTGAAAGAAAATAGTTATTTGTTCCCAGCGCTTGATACAAGGAGTGGATACTATGGATTAAAAGAGCCCCCTCCATTGATTCTTTATATCCAACTCCAAGACATCTCGCGCCTCTCTCTGCGCATCATGGCACAAAAAATTTACAATGTGGGCATCATTGGATACGGCCTGAGAGCCAAGATTTTCCATATCCCTTTCGTTGAGGTTGTCCCAGAATTCAATCTCTATGCTGTGGTTTAGAGAAATCCAAACCCCGCAAACGATGCTGGGAAAGACTATCCTGGCATCCAAAGCTATCGTTCAACAGAAGAGATGGTCAAAGTTGCCAGTGCCGATGTCGTGGTTGTGTCAACCATTACAGAGACTAATTTCGCCTTCGCTAAATTGGCATTGGAAGCGGAGGAGCATGGTATGCTGTCAGCGGGCTTCTTCGACCAGCACACATGTCCTACTAATTGAAATCTCCCTCTCTCCTAACTGTTTGGTAGCTATTGTGAAAAAGCTGTTCATACCCGCTCGTCAAGAAGCATCTGAATTGGTTGCGCTGTCGGAACGCCAAAAGCGTTTAATTTCCGTATATCAGAGTGCGTCTTGCTGCATATTCCCTTCAGCGTTCAGCATCTGGTCACATCTGACTTGGGCATTTCAATAGATCGCAGATGGGATGCTGATTTCATTACACTTTCAACATTGGTGAATGATGGTTCTCTGGGTCGGATCACAGTTTGAGACTCACTTTGACCGACATCGCCCTGAGATACCGACGAATAGTAGTTGGGAAACAAAAGCGATGCCCGTAAATGGCGCCTTATATGATCTTGGAACCCATCTCATCGATCAAGTTGTCTATTTGTTGGGGCTTCCAAAGAAATTGACTGGGTTTGTTGGCTCCCAGAGGGAGGACAACGACTCAGGGGACGAGGATTCGTTCACATTGCTTCTCCACTATGATCGAATTTTGGCTACCGTAAAAGGAGCCATTATAAGTCCCGAAGAGAAGCAGTTAAGATTTTTGGGTTCGCGGAGATAAAAGCAGTTTTAAAAAGGTGTGTGCATGGTGCCATCAAAACTTCTGGTCTTGCAGACAATTGACCTATTAGGCGATAGTATTGTCTTGCCGTTCAAGAAGATCAACTCAGAGCAGGCCCAAGGCATGGCGATTACGGTTACGGCAAGGAACCAAGTGACAGATATGGTGAGCACGTCAAGTAATAAATTTTCGGCCCTGATATACGAATCATCATGACCATTGCATCGACCGTGCACCAACCATGCCAAGGTGTTCTCACTAGTTACAACCAGGGTATATTGAGGAGCGAGGTTATACCTACCGTTGAGCCTCCTACATATGCAGAATATTGACCGTCAATTTGCAAGGGCTCTGGCTGGTGAAGGAGATATACCAGTCAGCGCTTCAGAAGCAAGCAGCATCATCCGGCTAGTTGAACTTTCCGGAGAAAAGCTCTAAGCTGGGGAAGACGTTGGATGTGTAAGCAAAGGTCAAAAAATAGCGTTGTGTAATGTGTATGTTGACGTCGAATTCAAGGTTTTAAAAAACACAACTCCAACCGAAGAAGCACCTCTGTTCCTTTTAAATTCTTATCGCACGATTGCGAACTTCGATGCCTTGTTGAAACAATTTTGTCCTTTTTCACGATGCTGCATATTGTGTGGCCAATCCGCTTTGATCGACAGAATTCTGCCTATGAAATGTGACTTATCAACTTCTGATCTTCATCTTTTTATTCTACAATCGGTTCGGCACATGCATGCTCCATCCACCAAGTTTTCCCATAATTACCAGAAAATTCCGCCTTCCTCCCCGGTTCCAAGGTAATTGCTTCCAAAGTTCGCCTCCTCCCCTTCGTTTGCAGGATTCCAAGTATTTCACGTAAGGCTTTCGTGAAAGTGCGCAGTTTAGTGGTTGGAATTAGGTAGGCTATGAGTTCTCTGTTCCGACCTGGTCCTGATACTCCCGGTGTACTTTCGTCCCGAGCTTTTAGGGCTTAGGCCAATTGTTGTTTTTTTTTCTCTTTCCCATTAGATCGGATTTGCTGGATGGGTTCTTTATCTGTTTTCCCTTTCAAGCAATTGCATGGGAACTTTTGCATGGTTCCCGGAACTGAATTGGGCGATGCAGCCGTGAATAGGATCCAACTCCTGTTACTGGATTCCACGTGGAAATATTTGCGATATGTCTTTCATAGTTGGGTGGGTTAACCAGCAGAAAATCCAGAAGCCACGTTCTGTAAGAAGGCCAGCTGCTCTCACGCCTTCTTCAGAGCACCCCCTCCCGTTGGCCGGTCTGTGTTCTGCTTCAAACTTCACCGAAACAGGGCGACCTGATTAGCTCTCCAGAAAGGAGATTGACGACGACAAAGAACTGTGACTCTATTTACTTGCAGGCTGATCCCTGAAACCCCACAGTCTCGAACCGCACTCTGATGGATGCTAGGTCGCGTGGGGCAAACGTTATGAACAGCGTTTATTCTCATAAATACTGGGGAAATTAACACATCCTTTCTCCCTATTCCTTCACTAAAATAATAGTCTCGACGTTGCCTTGTACTTCCAGTTCTGGTGGTGCCTAAAACAGGAATCATATCTCAAGGATGTGATTTCGCATCTATAATGCCGTCACAAACTCCAGCAGACGGAGGACACAAACACTTTTCGTCTAAATCTTCTCTCGCGGGCGACTGGCATGTGTCTTTGATTCTTGGTCTGTCGGGATGTCTCGCTGGCTTCTGCATAGTTGTGGTGTCATTACGATGCTACGCTCGGGGTCTGCTTGATAGGCATTTCTGGCATGATGACTATGCCGTATTTTTGGCCATTGTAAGGCTCGAACTATTTTTCATGCTTAAATACACTGTGGATTAGGGCAAGAAACTAATGGCACTCTATAGATATGTTCCATTATCGTTTTGGGTTGTCTCATAGGGGAGGCTTACAATGGGCTGGGACAATCTACCTCACTTCTCAGCTCCGAAAACCGCGAATATCTGGCGAAAATAGGGTATATACATGCAATATTTGGTACCCTCGGAATCAGCGCTGTCAAAATATCCTGCGGCTTTTTTATCCTTAGAACTATCGACAGAGGCAATATTCAACGTCTAGCTAAAATGATGATTGGTATGTTCGAGAGCTAAAGCTCTAATCATTTATACGTTCTTCAAGAGTTGGAAGACTGATTGAATGCCTGTCAAAGGATTCCTTCTTACTTTCACGGTTATTACCGCAAGCATTGTAATCTTCCAATGCGTTCCAGCAGCTGCTCTCTGGGACTCCAATTTAGATCCTAGTGCTCATTGTCTTACGGTTCAATCATACACCACTATTGGCCTGGTAACTGATGGTATGTATGCTCGAGTGAACACTTAACAACACTTTCGAGAGCTAATATTGAAGTAGTAGTTAATACCGCAATTGATATAATACTCTCAACTTTACCTCTCCCTCTCTTCTATGATCTTTGCCCCAGCACATATTCCAGAATGGCGTTGATCGGCATCGTTGCTCTTGGATACGTGTATGTCATCTTCCCCTCAGCGTCTATCAAGGGTTGACATATCCAGACAGCGGACTGACAGAATTTTTCAGAGCATGCAGCGCTGCAGTAATAAAAACCGTTTACCGAGCTCGTGTACTCGCAGTGCCTAGTATGTGGCGGTAAGTTTCTGCGACACGCCTTCTTCATCTCCTGAACGAAACACTGACTAAATTGCCCAACAGTGAAAGTGATTATACACTTTGGAATAAGTATGATTGTCCTTGCAGTATATCTGTTTTTCCCGTTCCTTGCTCCTGTTTCACGTACGACTATTTGAAAAATTTAATCGATAACCAAGCTAATCTCATCTCTACGTCGTTCTATAGTATCGAACTTCAGATAGGGATTTTAGCGTCCTCTTTACCCATTATAAATCCAGTTTTGACAATATTCGTTGTCCGTATCTACAGTCTCCTTAAAACTCCGATATGGCCAGCAAGCAGCTCCAACACCCGTGCTCACTGTAGAGGCAATGGCTCCTCAAGCCTTCGAATGAACCCAACGTCTCGAGAGAGGCAAAGGCGTCCAATACACCACAGTCACCACCTCAGCAGCAGCACTACGGAACAGTCTGATACCGAACAACATAGATGTCCCTTAAGCTTCTACAAAGTCGAAATCAGCGCATCCAGGCTGTCGGGTTCTCAAAATGGTCGCGAACGAGATGCCATCCTTGCTGGTGTGCCGTCCGGGTTTCCAGCCATTGTGAGAACTACAGACATCTATATACAGGTAGAGGATAGAAATGTGGCGGATTAGGAAGACACGAGGATCGCAAATACCGAGTCACAATCGGCTGGCGGGCGATGGAAGCTTCCTTAATACTGATTTAACAATATCTGAGGATTGAATGCCCCGGAACCGGCGTTTTCAGATTTGCAAGCCTACGTTTAAGGACCTAGGTACCGGATTCTGGTAGCGTACGTTGATATCAAACCCACCTTTCGTTTGCTTCGTTCTTTGTCCTTCCTCTCCTCCTCTTGCATGAATCCGTTGATTCATGAATATTACGAGCATATGTTCATGTCTATATACATTTTTTACACCCCTTGTCCTTTTTCTTGTTCCTGCAGTTCTTTTGCGAACAGGTACTCTTCTCTGATAACAAACGCATCTGATGTCATCTCTTCCTTTTTCCTCCTTTCGTTCAACGTAACATGTATTCATTTATTTCATCAACACCCTTCTGAGAAGGAATAAAATTTGGTTATCCCTACGTTCAAACAACGAATTCTTGTTTTGCTATAGATTTCCTTTCCATTACCTGCCTGGCAATTATTGGCTTTTCTAAGGCACTCCAACTTCGAACCCAACAAAAAGGGGAAAGTATTTAATATTTAGAGAAATTTAACAAACCAGACTGTTTCTGCTACTATTCCCTATGCTCTTTAATTGGTCAATGAGGTTCCATATTATCAAGTGGGTTGAAATCTGGGTTACTTGCTCCCGGAGGGTTGCGGGACCTAAATTCTAACCTTATATTTAAGTTCAATTTAAACGTCAAACAATGAAATCTGAGCAAGGCGATGATCGACATCGAGCCACACATGCATGACTACTGTGTAATGTTGTTTGAGAATAATCTTTCCTTTTTGTACTGCAAGTTTTGTTAGCTGCAGAGCACTTGGACTCGATTCCAAGAATTTTGTTCGGTTAAAGATATGTGGACGCTCATTGAAAACTGATCGAGATGAACCCCTATTCATAAATTGATAGGAATGGCTCTAGACCAATCGCTTCAAAGGATCTCTGGGTTGTTGCCCGCATGTGTGAACGCCGTATGGAGTAGGAAGATTACATTTCAGAGTACCAATTTTATGGGTTTACGTACAAAGAGGGGATTTGCATACTTATCCAATTACATTACCTTTTTTTAAATAACCGGAAGATCTTCAGAAATCATTCTGGTACACTGGTATCTACCTGGGTATGAACTGTACATATCAGCTGTTTATTCCCCCATCATGTCTCAGCCGGACGAGAGTAGAAAAGGAGGTCGGGCTCGACAAATACAGAAACTCAACATTCGTCAAAATCAATAACATCACCCAGGCAATCTTCCCGGAACTCAATGTGGAACTCCGCGTCCTTATAAAATGCTCCTGAATAAACAACAATGATAAATAATTGAAAGGTTATTCTATGTCGGAGCTCCTAGATACTGGTGGCTGAGTGGATAGACCAGCAGCGGGATCAAACTAGAGAGAAGAATGGGGGGCATAATTTTTGCTGGAACCGGACACCCCAATCCACAACAAATCGGCTCTTAATTTCCATCAATTGGATACACATCAGAGTCAGGATTCCGCAACAACAAGCAGATGTACAGCGCAAATATCTTGCTCGTTGCCGTCACCAGAGCTTGCACGAATACCCACACTGCGAGCTCTGCGACTGTTACCGCCATTATCGACGTGAATACGAGGGTGCCCGCGATATAATAGACGCCCCAAGCCAGCTGAACTGGCCAAGCTTCTTCCGCACCCTGAATCGCAGAGACACTACCAGTCGACACCGGATCGGACCCTCCCTTGCATCGTCGCCGCCGGATCGCGAAGAGCGCATGAATGATCGCCGGAAATATCCCGACGATACACCAAGTAAGTGTAAACACAGGGTACACGCAACCCAGAGAGCTGCGTTTAGAATATATTTCCACCACCGCCAACATCCCGTATGACAGCAATAGTATCAGAAAACTCGTGCCCACACGTAAAGTCGTTGAGAGGCGCCAGCGCGTTCCAACATTGGCGAATAAATATCCCTGCATCCACTGCATGTATCTTTGCACCTGGTCGCTTTCAAGTTCTCCTTCGACGGCCGGTTCGAGCCCCAACGCTCGGACGAGGACAGCAGCGGCAAATGGCAAGGGCGCGGATACAAGGGCTATACGCCTCTCGGGCCAGGCGACGTCTTTGAGAGTGAGGGGAATTAAGCCCATGATCAGTGCGGTGGCGCCGAATTGCTGTTTACGTGCTTCGTCGGCTAGTTGAAGAGTGCAGATTGAGGTTTGCCAACAGAGTTGGCTGCTGCCCCTGTAAAAATAGAACCATGGCTTGAATGGCGAGTAGACAATATTTTCCGCTGGAGGGCAGATTGTGCCATTCGTGAGTTTTTGGCCCGAAGAGAATGTGAGGCATAGGCAAAGGAGGAGAGAAAGTGGAAGGATATGGGATTTTTGACGCATTGTAGTTATCTATTTATTCCTTCCAGCTTCTTGATATATTTCTTCTCTGTGAGCTTAGAGGTTTGAATTTCGGGTTCGAAGTGCGGAGTAATACAGCCGAAAATTGAAACTATTTTCATTCTGGCAGAAGGAAAAAGAGTCATTTTAAAAAAGATTGCACTCTTCAGTTGAATACGAGATGGAAGGATGGATTGTAGAGAAGTGGAGTGTGACTAAACGGAGGATTCAATTGGCGCCAATTAGATTTTAACCCATTTTCAAAAATGCGAGTTGAAGTGCACTGATGTATTGAATAAAAATCAAGCATTCTGGTTGTTCTATCAAAATTGCCAATATGATACTCTCATCCACCCCAGAGCTTGTGGGGGAAATGCTTATGTTCAAAAATTTGTAGAGTGTAGGTAAGTGTAGTTCATGAGAGAATTTGAAGAAGATGGGTGAGCTGCCTCTGGGGATAGATAGGTAGTTATATCCGATATTTTCAACGGAAATTTGTTGGGAGCTAGGAGGATTGTATCCAAGTATTCGATTGTTTCATGTAGTTACTACCAACCGACCTTAGAAGCAATCGTGGTGAAACGTCGTTTTTCAGTTCTACCAAAAAGGGACTCGAGGTTTAGGGATAAAGCGGGACGGACGTTGGGGTGAATTACATATAACGGTTTGGAAGTTTGCCGCCCTTGGAACTCCAGAGCATGCAATGGTCGTTCCATGGGAGGTTTATTGTAGAAAATGAAAGGTGAGAACACGCCACTAGCTTTTGCAGCCCAAAAAAAGAAGCTCAGCAACTCATCGTATGACCAAGTCTTCCGATTCCTGCAAATTATGTTATCTCAACTAGTCGGGTGGAAAATGCTGATAATCTGCAAAATCGACGCCTCAGCAGGTGCACATGAGATTGCAAACCGGCTGTTAACTTGAGTTCTGAAAATCATTCTGAAATCAACCATCAGGTGAAGGACGAGCAAGTCGTTTTCCGGATATTTCTGAGATTCCAACTCCTCCGTAGAAGAGGGATTGTTCAGGCGGGGTTGAGTTATCGCATGGCTCGTGCTTCGTCCATTGGCTATAACTAGCTGGTAGTTCGAGTGAAACGGATTGTCTGTGATAGTTAAAACCTGCCTTGTTGGTATCGGAATTTCTTCTTTCATCCGTCATGTTTTCTGCTGCATCGCCTCCGTCTCCCATTGTTGAGAAGATTCTGTCGTGCCACTCAAAGCCAAGAAAATTGGACAGTTAACTAACCTTCTCCACTGCGTGTGTTTGGGGTTAAGAGATCCGCGCGAAATTTCCCCGTCTGCCGTAGTGGTTAAGGAACGGTACAAACTCCTGCCACGAACATCCACAGGAAGCAGAAGATCAAATATCGGGAGCAAAGGAAGGAAAAAGTTTCCACAATCTTCCCTTCGATGGATAACCACAACAACAAAAACCTGTGCTAGGGATTTCAGAGTTTTTGATTAACTACCCCACCAAAAATTAGAATGTGCTCCCCAGACTAAATAACTGGCTGAAATTGAACCTGTCATTGTCATTAGTGACAACTTTTGCGGTACAACATGGACGGCTATTTGCCCACAAGTAATATGGCATGACGCCAACTGAACGGACAACACAAATTTTCTAAGGTTAGGTATTAATAACATGATTTGTAGTTAGGTATAGACGCACCGAAAATGAATGCATGTATAATACATACCAAGAAGTTTTTTTTCCCGGTTATCACTCCGCGGGCTGGTTTCTATCTCCAGAAAGGTTCGAAGTTGAGTGTTAAGTTGGAGAAAGTTACCATTTGCACATTCAGTCCGCGGAGAAACCATGTCCCTCCCTCTCCACGCAAAATAAATAGTTGCAACATGAACCCGCAGTCGGCCGAACGGTACTGTACAAGACGCAAATTGAGGAGAACTTTTTGCAACGTCCGATATCCTGACTATTTCTTCGGCATGAATAGCGACCGTTGAGACGACACCCGTGTTGATCTGACCCATTAGCTGGCTTGTCTTTCGTTCTCCTCTTTCCCCTCATCCGTATGGACTGATCTTATGTAGAACCTGTCGACACCCCTCGAAAGCATCATGAATTGTGAATGTATTGTGATCCAATTCAAGTTTCTCCGGGAACTTAACTAGACCTTTTCCCGTTTCTTGTTTTTCATTTTAATTTCCACTCTCCATTCCTTTCATTTCAGATATCGCTTTCGGTCAGTTTTAATCCTGGTTCAGATGCCTTTAATCAACGTGTACAGTTGGGATGTTGATGTCGACAAATTTCTCAATCGTTACGTCCCCTATCCTCGATGGCATCTTCTGCCCCGCCCCGTTGCACATTTCCTAGGCTATAGGTCACGACCACCCAAAAAATCGGGAAATGTCCTCGTCATGCTCTGGTCGATGCTAGGGGTGTTCTGTGGACTGCTGATCGTCGCCGCAGTAACAATGAATATTCCCCTGTTCCAGCAATACGGCCGTGTCACCATCATTAGCAGCTTCGTGAGTCGATGACCCGTATGAACGACATGAATATTGTTTTTCCCCATTCCAGTTTCCTGCTTTTTATCTGCATTTGTTTC